GTTTCAAAACAGTTATAAAGTAAATTTACCTGGGGGATTGTTGGCAATGACACAGGGAGAAACTCTCTTTTCGAATTGTGCAACAGGATCTTTAATGTCCGCCTGAAAGGGCAGATTGGATCTCAGTTTTAGCCTATCAACCAAAAGGTGGTACCTCTGATTGACAATGCAGCGCTCACCCTCCCCCACATTCCACTTGTCTGCATTGATTTTGAACTCCGAACGTGGGGCTTGAACTCATAACCTTCGGATTCAGTGATACCAACTGAGTCAGGCAGATACCTGAATTTTAGCAGTGATGGTATTAGTTTTTTGTATGGCTCCTCAGACAGAAATCAAATGTTGATGTAAGACCATCTAAGAGTGGGGAGCTTTAAAGCCAGGGAAGAAACCAGTGGTTCAACGTACACGCTAATCATACTTTAAAGAAATCTGCCTGTGCATCTGAACCTAAACTGTGCACTCTTTGGAAATGGGTTCACATATTTTAAGGTTGACAATTAACCATGTTGTTTATTTCCCCCCACTTGCTCTCCTTGCCTTCGGACGAAACCTAGGTTAATTTCCCACTGCAATGGCAAAGTAAGCCAGGTGCCACAATCTGCGTCAAAGTATTTGCAGACATTTGTTCTCTCCTATAAAAAGTGAAAGACTTAAAGTATTTCATTAGAAGTAGCTCAGGTCTCCGAGTGCTTGTTCAACTTCTTGGCTCTTAAAATCTCAAATAATCTTTCTGGTATTGAAAAGATAAACGTGAATTTACTTCAATCTTTGCCAGTTATCTTAAATCTGTGTCCTCTGGTTACTGACCCACCAACCAGAGGAAACAGTCTTAAAACCCCTCAGAATTTTGAACAGCTCTATTAAATCTCCCCTCAACCTTCTCTGCTCTAAGGAGAATAATCCAAGCCTCTCCAGTCTATCCACATAATTGTAGTCCAAAGTCTACTCCAAAGTCATCCTGGAGGCAAACAACAACAACAAGATTACATTTGTATAGCACCTTTCACGTTGGGAGGACTTCCCAAGGCGCTGGACAGTGTACAGCATTTCAGACCCGAGCTGGGGTCAGGGGGGAGAAGGGAGGGGAGGGGCAGGGGGATGACCAATGGCATGGTCGAAGAGGAGGATCTTGAGGCGGGACTTGAAGGAGGCTAAGGAGAGAGCGAGGCGGAGTGATTGGGGGATGGAATTCCAGGGGTTGGGGGCAGTGTGACTGAAGGCTCTCCCAACAATGGTGGGGCGGGTGGATCAGGGGATGTGAAGCAGGCTAGAGCCGACTGAGCGGAGGGAGCGGGCGGGTTGGTAGGGGGTTAGGTCGCAGTGGTAGGGTGGGGCGAGGCCATAGAGAGCTTTATCAGTGAGGACAAGGATCTTGAACTGGATCCTCTGAAGGACAGGTGGATGACACACAAATCTACTTTGCCTCCTCCAGTACCAACTCCAGGTCTGTGGATGTTCTATTAGCTTGTCTGGCTTGGATGAGAGTAAACTTCATGCAGCTGAATATGGAGAAGACAGAAGCCATACTCCTTGGCTCCTGTCAACGTCTTCACTCCTGTGGATCTAAACTCTTCAACCTCCCCGGGCTCTTCCTCAGAGTCACCGAACCAGTGCGCAACCTTGGCGTCCGGTTCGACCCCCAGCTGTCCTTTTTCTCCCATATCCGGTCCCTGACCAGGACCGCTTCTTCCAACTCTGCAGATTGCCCGCCTCTGACCATATCTTACCCCAAATGCAGCCGAAATCCTTGTGCATGCGTTTGTCACCTCCCGCTTGGATTACTCCAATGCACTCCTCGCCCGACTCCCCAGCTCCACCATTCACAAGATGCAGCTCATTCAGAACTCTGCTGCTCGCATCCTGTCCCAGACCAAACCCCGTAACCACATCTCACCAGTTCTGGCCAGGCTCCACTGGCTCCCCATCACCGAACAGATCGACTTCAACATCCTCACACTCATGTTCAAATCCATTCACTCCCTGGCACCTTCCTACCTCTCCGACCTCCTCATTCACCAATCCACCACCTGGCGCCTCAGCTCAACTGGCAGTGGCCTCCTGCTCATCCCTCTCACCCTCCGCCCCACCATCGGAGGTCGCGCTTTGAACCACTACACCCCAAAACTCTGGAGCACTCTCCGTCAATCCCTCCGCTTTGCCCTCTCTCCCCTCTTTCAAGTCCCGCCTGAAAACTTTCCTCTTCAACCGTGCTTATGGCCACCTGCCCTCTCCCCCCAGCTCAGAGTCAGGCTCCACCACTGTTAAACGCTTTGAGACGCTACCCTGCGTGGAGGGCGCTATATAAGTGCAAGTTGTTGTTGTTGTTGTAGTCCCTCATCTCTGGTATCATTCTCGTAAATTTTCTCTGCATCCTCTCCAAGTCTCTGACATCCTTCCTAAAGTGTGGTGCCCAGAATTGGACACAATACTCCAGCTGAGGCCTAACCAGCAATATGTAAAGGTTCAACATAACTCCCTTGCTCTTATACTCTATGCCTCTATTTATAAAGCGAAGGATCGAATATGCTTTTTTTAATCAATTTTGTCAACTTATCCTGTCATCTTCAGAGATTTATGTATATGTACCCATACAGGCTCCCTGTTCCTACACTCTCTTTAAAATTGTACCATTGATCCTTATATTGCCTCTCCTCATTCCTTCTTCCATAATGCATCACTTATCACTTCTCTGCATTAAATTCCATCTGCCATGTGTCTGCCCTACGTCCTCCTGCATTCTATTACTATCCTCCTCATTGTTTATTATGTTTAATATGTTTATGAGATATTTTGTTACCCACTAATCTTTTCTCATAGTCCCTTTGCCTCTCTTAATCCCTTTTTCAGTTCTCCTCTGCACTTTCTATATTCTACTTGCTTCTCTGCTGTGTTATGAACCTGAATTTATCATCAACTTTTTTTTCTGTTTCATTTTAATCCCATTTTCTTTAGTCACCCAGGGAGCTCCAGTAATGTGTGTAGACAAAAATTGAAATGTATTTACCATGTTTGGCTGACATGCAAATTCTGAATTTGGTAACCTGATTTATTTTGTAACTTGATCAGGACTGCTGTGTGAATGAGGTTAGTTTTAATCTGAGAGTAGCAATGTAATCTTGTGACCTGTGTTTATACAGCTTGTTTTTGCTCTCAACACTCTTGAGAATCCAGGAGAAACACCCAATTGAATGTTAAGAAGTCAAACGTTTCACCTCCTACTAAATTCACTGGGGAATAGTCAACAACAACAACAACAAAATTACATTTATAGAACGCCTTTCACGTTGGGAGATCGTCCCAAAGCGCTGAACAGTCAGGTGTCGGGACCTGATCATGGGGGAGGGGCAGTGTAGGAGTGAGGGAAGGCAGAGAGGTGGGAGGGCAACCAAATGCACAATTGAAGAGAAGGGTCTTGAGAGTGGCCTTGAAAGAGGCAAGGGAGGAAGCGAGGCAAAGGGACTGTGGGATGGAGTTCCAGAGTGTGGGGGCACAGAGGCTGAAAACCCGGCCACCAATGGTAGGGTGGGTCGGGCAGGAGACAAGGAGCAACAGCAACAACAAGATTACATTTGTGTAGCGCCTTTCACGTCGGGAGGACATCCCAGATCTATTAAACAGACCGGAGCCCGCTGAACAGCGGGAGCGGGCAGGTTGGTAGGGAGTCAGCAGGTCAGAGAGGTAGGAGGGGGCAAGGTCATGGTGTTATGATCAATATGTTTATTCAAAATCCTGATCACACCAGGCTCCACTAGCTCCCAATTACTGAATGGATCGATTTCAAGATCCTCTCACTCGTTTTCAAATCCCTTCATGCCTAGTACCGCCCTACCTATCCGATTGACTTACCTCCCACACTCCACCACCCGCTGCCTCCACTTGGCTGGCTCCAGCCTCCTGTTCGTCCCTCATCCACTCCCCTCCACCATTGGTGGCCGTACCTTCAGCCATTATGCCACAAAACTCTGGCAGTCTCTCCCTCAATCCCTCTGCTCAAATCCCACCTAAAGACCTTCCTTTTTGATCATGCTTATGGTCACCTTCCCCCTCCCCCTTTCCTGGGGGCAGACTCCGCCACTGTCAAGCGCTCTGGGAAGCTACCCCACGTGAAGGCCACTATATAAATGCAAGTTGTTGTTACTCCCATAGGGCTACATTATACAAAACAGCGCAATACAAATTTACATTTTTATAGTGCCTTTCACATTAGAAGAATATCCCAAAGCACTTGACCGCCTTGGTTTTGCACCCGAGCTGGTGAAGGAGGGCTTACGTAATTTTGTATCACTTTTAAAAACCTCATTGCAAACTTCTAATGTAAACAAGGGTTTCTGTCAAATCTATTACTGACCATTTTAAACTTTTAATGATGTTTTCCTGTGGCCTGACCTCACTCCAGTCACATTGCATTTGCAAATGATTTGCAGGCTATAACATTTGCCTGCAGTCACACTCAGCATCGTTCAGTTTCCTAACCTGTTTTCTTGCTCACAAACCTCGGAATGGGGGAGGGAACATATTTCTCTGCCGCCTTTTTTTTCTGAGACGAAGTCCAAGTGAGCAGGGATTCTTCCCACTCGGCCCCTGTTAACCTTCCAAGCCAAATCCCTAATAGGGAGTTTGGTTCCAATTGGACAAGCAATGGGAAAAGTGTGGTTTTAGATGGTTAAAGCATAATAATAATCCCTGAATTTGATATATAGCGCCTTATCACTTCTTCGATACGTCTCAAGATATTTTATGGAATATACTGTAAAATGAATTGACTGTGGGCAAAACATCACAAACAGTCGTGGATTGAGTGACCACTTTTTTTTAATATGGATATATATTATTTATTTTGAATGAATTATTACTCCCCTGAAATCTCCCTCTCGCTACACCCGTTGACTGCCGCCTTTCTTTTTGAAAAAAAACGTGTGCGGGCTCCGCCCCCTCGTTCGTCACATGGTGCGTGGCGTGCGTGTATGCGTCACGGTACGGTACCTATAAAAAGGGTAAGTCTGCGCGGACCCGCGGTAGAACCTAGTCGTGGAGGTAAAAAATGAGTCGTTTTTGTCCATCGTCATTCACCGGTATCGCCTGCTGTTCCTTCCTCCTGCCGTCTGCTGACCTGCGCCTCGCCACCGAAAGACGCTGCAGTAAAAAGCGCTCCTCAGTCGGCTGATTGTTGTCGAGCGAGCCAAGCACTCGGCTTTTTTATTTCGCCGAGAGAGAGCGTGCGCGAGTGAGAGGCGCCCGAAGATGCCGAGATCCAAGAAGCGGGCCTGCAAGGGCCGAGGTGAGTGAGCGCGCGCCGCGCACTCTGGGAGATGTAGTTCCAGCCGCACCTCGAGTTCGCGAGTGGCGGGCGGGAGTCAGGGCGCGACGGCACTACAACTCCCAGCATGCTCTTCGCACCGCCGTTTGCACTTGAAGGCAGGCTCGAGCTGCACTGGTGGGGCCTCTCCAAATAAATTTGGGCCCGGGCGGATTTATTTTGAGAAAGCGGGCGGTGGTTTGGTGGCGAGACGGAGAGTTCGGCGCCCGCTGCGTATCAGGAGACGGCACAACAAGACAAGGCCGCTTTTCTCCTGACAGCATCTCTCCACACACACATAATAATAATCTTTGCATTTGACATAGCGCCTCGTCACGACGTTGAGACGTCTCAAAGCGCTTCACAGGATATATTGTAAAGTGAATTTACTTTGTATTGGTGTGTGAAACACAGCAGTGTCCCACAAACATGGATTGAGTGACCAAATTTTACACTCCCTCCTTTTCCGTACTCACACACATACATATCCCTTCCTCAACTCCCAGACTGTGATATGTTTAACTCGGGAATGACTCACCACCTGGGGGTGGAGAATGCAACGTGGCCACCAAACATTCAGTGGGTGGAAAGTGCCAGGGCTTTTGGAGAAGAGGGAGGAGGGGTGGACTGTTTTCAAATTCCACACTAAATAGTTTCACGTGTAGGTGGAATTTGATGCCCTGAAGTTTGAAATGGACAATGGAGGGTGGCAAAGCTGTGTTGTCTGCCCACTCGCTTTCTGATAATCAGTTGCCGGAGCTCTACAAGTGCCCAACAAGTGATTTTTTTTGCTCCAGGACAAAGGCTTGTCGTTTTTAAGTTTTTGTCATCGTCTGAGATGATGGCCAAATATCTTCCGTATTGAAGAGTTTTAATCGGGTGCAGTTCCAAATGTAGAGGGACTGAATATAAGGCAGCTTGTCATTGGATCTGACAGGGAGTTTTGGAGAAACTTTGTGCAGAAGGAAGTGAGAATGTGAAACTTGCTGCCAGAAGATGGGGTTTAAACAAATGGCTTGAATGGAAGGGAAAACGTTCTTATGTGGAAGGGAATAATAGGAGGAGTGGGGGCTTGTTTGGAGTACAAGAACAACTTCCATTTATATAGTACCCTTCAGGTGGGTCTGATACTTTACTGAATATTGAATCACGTGTGGTTCTGAGAAATTAATTTGGAGGGTGGATTCAGGTGACAGCTGAATTGCAGTATCACAGCAGCCACTTGAAATGTCAGGAAGTGACCTTGATTACTGGTTAACAAGTTAACCTTACATGAGTGATTCACAAGTTAACCTTACATGAGTGATTCACAAGTTAACCTTACATGAGTGATTGGGTGTTAGTTGAATCCTAGCACCCCACTACCTTTCCGACCTGCTTTTTCTCCACTCCGCTACCCGCTGCCTCCGTTCGGCTAGGTCTGTCTACTCCTTCCCCTCCTTAAATCAGGATTGAAGACCTTCCTTTTCGACCATGCTTACGGTAACCTCCTCCCTCTCCCTGACTTGGCGTGATAATAATAATCCTTGCATTTGATATAGTGCTTTTCACGTCGGGAGGATAATAATAATCCTTGCATTTGATATAGCGCTTTTCACGTCAGGAGGACGTCCCAAAGCGCTTCACAGAACACACTGTAAAGTGAATTGACTGTATATTTGTGGGCGAACGCGGCAGCCAATTGCGCACAGCAATGTCCCACAAACAGTCGTAGATTGAAAATGACCAATTTATTATTGTTTTTGGTTTTGGAGGGATTATTATTAGGCCTGTGGAGTAAGGAAACTTGCCCAAGGTTTCGCCCTCTGCCTGGAATTGAACTCAGATCTCTCGCTTGCAAAGCAAGTGCTCTAACCACTGAGCTACAGGACTCCGTAACCCCCATCACCCCCTCGCCAGACTACTAAGTTTCTATCACAGAATAGATGAACTTCAAGATCCTCACACTCGCCAACAAATTATTCATGCAACACAAGTAATCTTTCTAGCAACCTTTTGCCACCCTAAACTCTAGATATCATTTTTCAATCCTTCCAAATTCTGTGCGTACAGGACTTTTTCTGGAAGCCATGAGCAAGTGTGTGTGTTTTATTTTTCAAATGTGCAACACATCAAACTTATCAAATGGTAAGTAAAATGAGGTTGATAATTTTGAGAACACTAAATGGGGCATATGCAGGTGTGAGCAATTTGGTGTCATGGTGAAAGTGAAGAGCATTCACTGAGACAGTGTTGAAAACACAACCTGAACAGCCTCTTGAGTTACATGGCTGTGGGGTTCAAGCCCCACATCAGTCTAAGCTGTGGGCTCTGGAACTCTATCCCCCAGTGCCTTCGCCGCCTCCTCCCTTTCCTCCTTCAAGGCCGGTCTCAAGACCTTTCTCTTTGACCGTGCCTTTAGCTCCCCTCTCGACTCTCTACCCCCTCCTCGCTCCCTCCCCTCACCCTGACCATTTCCCCCCTTGCTCGGGTCCTGACCCAACTGTACAGCGCCTTGGGACGTCCTCCCAACGTGAAAGGCGCTCTATAAATGGAATGTTGTTGTTGTGGGTGTTGCATTGTCAGGGGTGGTGTTCTTCAGATGAGACGTGAAATCAAAACCCTGTCTGCCTGTTCAGGTGGACGATAAAGATCCCATGACACTAATCATAAAGAAGGGAGTTTCTCTCAGTGACCTGGCCAACAATCCAACAAAAATAGAATTGGGCACTCACTCGATGGCACGTTTATACTAGTATATAATATGTCACTTAATCCATGACTTTGTGGGACATTGCAGTGCATAACCACCGCATTTCGCTCGCAAAGTACAGTCATTCCACTTTAAAGTATATCCTGTGAAGCACTGTGAGACATGTCACCGATGTGTTATGGCGCTGCATCGAACGCATATACATTATTGTAGAACATCTGCAATACTCGGTGAGTATTAACTTCTTATTGGATGCCAATTTTTTCCTGTCCTTTTCCTTGTTTGTATTGTCAATAGTTGTGTACTCATGATGTAGCAAACCGATGGGTTTGTTTGTAAACAAGTTTCTTTGCAGCTCATGATTTCTTATCTCGGGTGAAAATTGATAAGTCGAAGGAAACATAAGGAAGCCTGATGTGCAATATTAAATTATCCCTTTGTGTGAAATGTAAGTAGTCCTCTAGCGTAGTGGTTAGAGCACACGCCTCGCAATCGAGAGGACCTGGGTTTGATTCCCGGGCAGAGCGAGACATTGGGCAAGTTTCCTCACTCCACACGCCTCTTGTTTACCTAGCAGTAAGCAGGAACCTGGTTATCAGTCGTTTGGCGGATCACTTTCTGGGATAATGATCCCTTTAAATTTATCATTAAAAAATAATATTAATTTGGTCACTCAATCCACGACTGTTTGTGGGACACTGCGTGCGCAATTGGCCTCTGTGTTTCTCCCACAAAATACCGTCACCACACTTTACAATATGTTCTGTGAAGTGCTTTGAGATGTCTTGAAGACATCTAAATGCAAAGATTAGTATCAGGGAATTGGATCATAAAGCATCTTAATGTTTGATGTAGGATGAGTTATAGTTTTCTCATGTGCAGTAAAACTCAAATGTTGTGGTCCTGACTGATGCAACTTATAATATGACTTGTGTGAAGTCCGAGTTGCAGGCAAACTGTATAAGTAGTTTAAATTCCGGTTTAATCAATAATCTACATACATGCATGTGGTGACGGGTCAAGCCTACATTTCCCACGATTCAGTGCATCCTGACCCATTGCTGCATGCGCGCTAACTGGCATTGGAATTGCATTGAATCCAGGAAATTAGGTTTTTCTGTGCATATATCGACCGATCAAGACTAGGTTTCCTGCGATTTAATGCAGCTGGTAATGGTTGAGAGGTCAGGATTTAATTTCCCGTGATTTTGTGGGTGAAACAAGCAGCCAGCTGTGTACAGCAGTGTCCCACAAAGTCGTAGATTGAGTGATTTATTATTTTTTTGGAGGAATTATTATCCCTGGAAAGCGATCCGCCAATCGACTAACAACTGTGTTGCTCTTTATTACTACAACAACAACTTGGATTTATATAGCGCCCTCCACTCCGGATGGCGTCTCAGAGCGCTTTACAGTAACAGATCCCTTACTACTACTACTACTACTTATTAATTACTACTGGGTAAACCAAGGTGTGTGGAGTAAGGAAACTTGCCTTAGGTTTCACCCCACCCAAGAATTAAAACCTGGGTCCTCACATTAATGTGGATGAGCATTGACTCCTTTGGATTAAGCTAGCGGCAGGTTTAATTGACCATTTTCTTTTTCAAAAAAAGAGGCAACTGGTTGATTTGTTTCAAACCCAATCCACATTATCTTTTTAGTTTCTGTAATAAAATCTTAATTCAGTTGTAACTCCACAGATGTAGAGATTTGCCTTGTTGATCTGTGACATGCCCAGGCTTGACACATTCATTACATCCTTCAAGCTTTTTGAGATGTCCTGCCAAAAGTGTATCGAATGCAAGATTTTTTTTTTAGAAAGTTCATGTTCCACTGGTCACTAATTTGTGTTGGCAACTTTGTAGTTGTGCAGCAAAACCGATGGTGGTGATATAAACTGAAACCCCTTATTTGGGCGGGAACACTTGTAGATAAATAATCCACTAACTTGTTTTTTAAAATATACTTGAGTGACTTTTGATTGTTCTATTTACTGTGGGCTTGTAGCAAGGTAAGGATCTTCTAAAGTTGCACTGATTATATGGCAGCCGAGCAGCAACCTGTCCATGGCTGGTGAGGTGTGCAGCTGTGTGGAAAAGGCTGCGGTAAGACTGGGAAATGTGATTATTCTACACTGAATGTGTCATTTGCTGCAGCGTAACCTGTTGATTTGTCATGGATGATGCAATAAAAGGCCTGCCCTATGTGAGATGAGCTGGCTCTGCATACATTTCCTGCATGCAACCTAAACTTTTAAGTTCTACAATGGTGTGTCGTCTATTTCACCCTGTTTTGTGCATTTCCCTTTGGGTACGTTCACAGCTCCAGCTCCCAGTAATGTACTGTCCGTGACTGTTTTTCTTCTGAACTCAGACAGCGTGGTGACAGTGGCGCTGCATTTTGCCTGAAGTTCTGAAGGGATCAGCTGTCCTAACAATTCTGGGCTTTTTTGAAAGTAGTGTGCCTTGGCAGTCCAAGTCAGTGTGGAGAATGGTATGTGGGCTGGTTACTGGAGGACTGGCAGTATAACTAGAGTGGTACCTGGTGTAAGTTATTGAGAACAATGTTTGATTTCTTTCATTGTGCTGCGAGCACACAACCTGTATTCAACATGTGGAGTCCTGTAGCTCAGTGGTTAGAGCACTCACTTTGCAAGTGAGAGTCCTGAGTTCAATCCCAGGCAGGGCAAAACCTTGGGCAAGTTTCCTTACTCCACACGCCTAATAATAATCCCTCCAAAACAAAAAACAATAATAAATTGGTCATTTTCAATCCATAATTGTTTGTGGGACACTGCTGTGCGCAATTGGCTGCCACGTTCGCCCACAAATATACAGTCAATTCACTTTACAGTATATTCTGTGAAGCGCTTTGGGACGTCCTCCCGACGTGAAAAGCGCTATATCAAATGCAAGGATTATTATTATTATTACTCCTTGTATTTTCAAAGGTAAGCAAGATTTTGTTTAGCTTCATTTGGTTCATTGGCGAGCCAGGTGGCGCTGCATGATATTTGTGAAAAGGATGTTTGTGGAATGTGGCGCTTTATCTTCTGCCAACTTTCACTTAACATTTAGAGGTTGTGGAATTTATCCATTGCGAGCTGACTGTTACCAGAGGTGCTGTAAAGCGGAAGAATGTGTAGAATAACATGGTTGCGGATTAGGGGGAAAAGGTCAAGGTGGAAGGAGTGATGATCATTGTGAGCAGAGAATTGTGATTCATTCATTCTTATGTCTTGGATGGGCTTCGAAGTTGCAGGAAATGATTGTCAAGGAAGATGGGTTAGATCTATCTTTTAAATCATTTGAAGGAGAAAAATAGGAGCTTTTGGAAGAATTAAATGAGATTGTCATTATTCTATCAGTACATCGAAGGGGTGGCTGAAGTTGAGATTTGTTGTGAGGAGGAAAAGGAACATGTGCTGAGGGCATGTAGTCTGAAGGAAATGTATTCTGGAACAGAGTGCATATGTTGAACAGTGAGCCTCAGTAAATCGTTTAGTTGATGTGGAGAGTCAGAGAATGGACAATTGGTTTCTGTACGTTGGCCTTGTTTGGAAACATTGCATATCCTGAGAAAAGACTTGACGTCCAACCCAACAGCAGCTGAATCCTCCCGAGTATTGAAGAGCCGATTTTGCAGGGATGCTTAACATTGGCAAGTCGTCACTCACTGCGCAACTGGTGTTCTGTGTTTTTTCCACTATTAAACGGCAATGTCTGCAGTGATCTTGAAATGAGTTTAGATCTGTATGTTCTCCAATTTTTTTTATCTGTTGCACATTTTGAAGCTCTTGTGTTAATATGGTAGTGGGTTGCGCTTTTGGTGTGCGTTTGACCATTTCCTCTTTCCGCATCAGGTGGACAGCATCGAGCAGTACAGCCTTTCAGCGATGAGGATGCTTCCATTGAAACAATGAGCCACTGCAGCAGTTTCAGTGATTCAACCAGCTTGGCTGATGAAGGTGCAGTATTTGAAGAATGGAGCTATGACAGCAAAGGGAATGCTGTACTGCTGTAAAGATTTGAAATCCAATGGGATGCTGTGCTGTTGCTGTAGCACTCGTGTAGTAAAAGCAGGCTGAAATGGTGTTCAATTGTACAACAAAGTACCAAACAGTTTCATGACTTGGTATCAGAAATGATGACTACTGTAATTTAATGCTGAGCATTGGTATTCTGTGATTCAAGCTTTAATGTGGTGTGATGGATATGGAAGGATAATGATAATGATTTTTTTTTTACTTCACACATGCATGTTTGAATGCTTTGGATAATGAGTTCTGAGTGTACTCTAGTTGGTGTGTCCAATTTATTCAGAAGTATTTATAATCCTCCATATTCAAACTAAATCCTGCTGTAGACCTGTACTTTTTTTTCATAGCCCTTTTTCTCTGTTTTCCGACTGAATATCAGTCTTCTTTACCTCTGTGGTTTTAGTCTAATCTAGCTGACAGTGGTTGACCTCTTTTTCTAGCAATAGGATGGAAATTCACACCAGTGGAACTGGCATGTTGAGGCCACCTCCAGCTAGAATTTGATTAATTTGTTTAGTTGCTTTTCTGGAGTGAGAAGACCATCCTATTTACCATAATGTTAAATAGTGACCATTTAGTATAGCGCAGTTCTTACCCAAATGCTGGTAACCTCTGCTAGGGCAGAATGGAGATGGTGGTCTCAGCTGTAGAAAGACTTCTTCACAAATCTGATTGCATTAAGGTTGTTGGATTGTCACACATGTTGCTTTTATACTGCAGTTTAAAAAAAAAATTCACTGTGAAGCAGTTGCTATAAGTCCATTATAATCTATTTTTGCTGTTTTCTCTTCATGGTGTTTTCACATTCCTGAAATCAGGATCAATTGTTGCTTTCAGAAATATCATGGTCCACAGTATAAATCCTCCCCACGAGACATAATCGAGATCCCTGTCTTGCTGCTTAGATGGGCTTTAAACACTGTAGCGCTACTCAAAAAGAGAAGGGAATTTCTTCTGGTGTTCAGAGCGCATCAGTGCTTCAGATAAAGTTAATAGTTTTCTCCATGGCTATTGGACATTGCTGTGTGCTAATTGGCTGCCACATTAATCCAAAAATATATAGTCACTACACTTTATGGTGAGTAAAGGGATCGTTAAATCTTGTTCCACTGTTGCTGACTACAGTGAATTTAAGTAACAATTTATGGTTGATCCATTGGACCACGTTTAAAGTTTTGACTTTTCGAGCTGTGAAAAAACAAGCTCACGTTGGGTTTTGTTTCTCCATGCAGTACTCTGCTTGGCCCCTGCTGTTTGCTTCCTACAGTTGTGCAACTGGAAGTGCTGCCACATTAGCAGCACTGTGAAACACTATTGCTGTAACAAGATGCTCCCTGACAAAGTGTCAGAACAACTGAAGCCGTTATCTGTTCCAGGTACTGAAGATGTTGATGAAGAGGCAAGTCAAGAGGATTATGAATATAGACTGAAAGGATTCATTGATAGCACGATGGATAAAAGGTGAGCTCACTGCTTTGAATTGAAATGTTATCTTGGATGAGGTGCCCACCCCACCACCTGAACATTTTGATTTGTTTTCTTGTGTGAAATATCTCATTTTGAAAGCAAGCTCACCTGGAAAGTATGGATCCAGTGGGAAATGACTAACCAACATGTCATGCTTCTGCAGTGCAAAGAATAGACTGTTTGCTCTTGTGGGTCTGAAGACTGCCTTCTCTTCCAAAATCCTTTATGACTTAATTCTGGAAAGAAGACTGACGTTGACGGACAGCATAGAACGGTGTCTGAAGAAAGGTAATCAATACTGGAGTCTTCCGGTTTACTTTTTTTATTGAAATATTTAATTAAAAGCAAGTCTCATGGATTGCAATCAGCTCAAAGTCAAAACGTCAAACCTGGTTCAATTGATAAAGTGGGGCGACTGTTTCTGGAGGAGATCGCTGTGACATGTATACTTTGTTCTGCTGTCATGACGAGGAATTTAACATTTGATGTGCGTAAGCAGAACATTATTAACTTAGCTCGTGAAAGCATGTTGGATACTGTTTTCAGTGAGTCTTCAGACGAATGAAAATTTCAAAAAAGTTTTATTCAGTCCTGCAAACAGCTGCAGTCCAGGCACAACTCCCTCAGACCCTCATGGCCGCAGAGAGCTTGTAAACCAGTTTAAGCTGCTTATCATATCTTAGCTCACTCATCACAGCCCAAATAAGGTCTTGTTGTTTTGAGTTCAAACAATGGTCTCCCACAATCCCCCCTTTTGCACTCAAAACAAAACGACACCACTTTATAAATAATAGGGACCGACCGGAGGTGATCCGTCATCATCCGTAGGGGTGCGCAATGAATTCAAGTGAGCACCTTTAGGAGGAGAGCACAAACGAGCGAGACACGAATGCACCAGCGCAAATAACAAAAATCATATCAAAAACATTATGACTTAATTCTTTTCAACACAGTTCGTAGTTTTCTCTTTCAGAGTTAACCAGTCGTCCTGTATCTACCTCGAACGGACTGAGCCCAGTCGTTCGGTTGGGGGTTGCTCTTATGCTACAGAGCACAATTGGCAACGCTTGGGGCCATGGGATACCCTGTATTTGGCCAATCTGTCTTTCAATTTGGCTTGATGACTGAGGGTGGTAAGGACAGTGTACACTCCCTTGATGTTAAGTATTCTGCAGACTTATTGACATACTGTGAAGTGCGTCCCTTGATCCGAATCGATCGAGCTTGGGAGTCCCCACCTTGGTATGTAGTCTTTACACAGAATTTTTGCTGTTTGGGTCGCCGTTGCTTTGCGTACCGGAGTAGCTTCAACCCATCTGGAGAATCTGTCCACAATTACCAGTACATCAGAAAAACCTAGACTCTTGGGCAGGGAGATGTAATCAACCTGTATTTCCTGAAAGGGACCCATTGGGGCAGAGGGTTGAAGTTGAGGCATTCCCGTAATAGGACCTGGATTAATCTTTTGACACGGGACAGATGTCCGCCACATTCTGGGCATGTTTCTTAAAGCCTTTTCCCCACCAATGTCTCACAAATCTAGCCACCATCTGAATCCAAATGCATTCCTTCTTCCATCCACGTCCATATCTCTTCCTTAGAACATTCAGCTTGCATCTTAGCAATTTCCGCACGTAAGCTTTTAGTTTCTAATGATCAAATCCTACAACCGTCTTCATCGGTTTGAGGAGTCCTTTCTGCAGCTCTCTTGGCCGCCTCGTCCGCTTTTGCATTACCCTTAGCTTCATCCGCGTTTTCCTTTGTGTGGGCTTTGCACTTAAGTATCGCCGCCTTAGATGGTTTACTCATTGCTTCCAATAATGTCTGTATCTCTTTTCCATTACGAATGGGTGTACCGGTCGCGGTGAGGTATCCTCTGCGTCTCCAGATGCTTCCAAAGTCGTGAGCAACTCCAAATGCATACCTTGAGTCAGTATAAATATTTACTGTTTTCCCTTCAGCCAGATTGCAGGCTTCGGTGAGAGCCCTTAATTCGGCTTGCTGAGCTGATGTTCCAGCCGGGTGGCAACCACTACCTTCCACACTTGAGAGGGTGGTTACTGCCCATCCCGCCTTCCGAATTCCATCCGTCACCATGGACGAGCCATCGGTGAAAAATATCAAAAAAATCCTCCGGTAACATTACACAGTCATGTATGTCTGGTATGTTTTCCAAACAGTTAAGCACATCTACTCGATTTTCGTCCGTTAACCCTTCCACCTTTCCTCCCCCCTTATGCTCCTTGGGAATCGGGAGCATAACTGCAGGATTAGTCGGCGTAGCTCGCACCAACCGAAGGTTGGGGGCCTCGAGTATCGCTGTCCGAGTCCATCTTTCAGAAGTAACCTGTGATACCCGATTCATGGATAACATGGCATACACAGAATGAGGGCATTTAACCGTTAGTTCTTGGTCGAGTACCAAACTGGCTGTCAGCGTCATGGCTCTGCAAGTTGCTTCCATCGCGCTTCCCCATCCACAGGCCACTGTGTCCAATTTGGTACAATAGTAGCCAATGGGTCGTTGTTGATCATCGTGTTCCTGAGTAAGGACTGCTGTCACAAAACCGTTTGTCTCATTGACGAAGAGAGTATAAGGTTTACCCGTATCTGGAATACCGAGGGCAGGTGCTGTTGCCATGTATCCCGGAGATTTTTAAAGGTGACCGTCTGTTCTGAATTCAACTCGATGGAGTCTTTAGAAGCTTTTCTTCCCTTCAGAATGTCATTCAGCGGTTGGGCCAGCTGGGTATAGCCTTCAACCCAATTTCGGTTGAAATTGCAAAGTCCAAGAAACAATCTGAGTTCCTGAACCGTGGTGGGTACTTTAGCATTGCAAATTGCCTCAGTACGATCTTGCGTGAGTTCTCGCTTTCCTTCTGAAATCTTCTGACCCAAGTAAATAACGGAAATAGTACGCAGACGGTTAAGCTCCTCGCGAGTCTTCAGCGCACCTTTCCGAGGGTCAGATAGCGATTTAGACCATTTGTCAATTTTTTCGGGTTCCGCCGGCGAATGCTCGTGATGTCCTGCCCATCCGTCATGAGCACCCTCCACGGGGAGCGCGGCCTCTCCCGGCGGTGCCATACCCTGCCTTAGCTGGTATCTCATCACTACGGGTCTTAGTTGGACTGACGGAAGAGGGGGTCCCCATGGATCGGGGCAGCAAGTTGACGGATCCCATGGATCACACTCGTTCTTTCTATTATAAGCTGGAGGGGCTGACACAGACAGCAATGGTGGATACAGCGAGCCACTTCTAACAGGTCTTCTACCAGCCGCTTTGGACCAGATCACTTCAGCTTTAAGCTTTTCAATCTCAGCAGTTTTATTGTCTATTTCTGCTTGTTTTTTGTGTAGTTGTTCTGCCTTTGCAGCCAACTGCTCCTTAGCTTTATTCATTTCAGCATCGTGTTGAGTATCTTTCATTGTTTCATTCCGCTGTCGCAACTGACTTGTTGTAATCATTGCCAATCGGGTCTGAGACTCCCCTTTTAAACGGGTCATCTTACCCCATGCTTTCTGAATGCCTGGCAGGGCCAACTGGCCGCTGCTTATGCCATCCTTTTTTTCAATGCTTTCCTGTCATTCTTGGAGCTTTAAATTGGTCTGCAAAGTCTTAGTTAATGTTTCCAACATTTCAGTCAAGTTTATCTCGGGAGGGACCAGCCCTCCTTTAACTGGTTGGTTTACTTGAATCTCCCGTTGAACCTACCATTGTGCTAAATTTTGAGCCCGTGGGCCGTTGAAACGCCGAGGAGGCCGTTGAAACGCCGATGGATACTCAATTTTTAGCAAGCTTCAGTCTCGACCTTTGCACACGATTCTTTCAAGGATCACAAGAAAATTCAAACAGCTCAACCCCTGAGACGAGGAATTTTTCCACGAGAATTCCTTACCTCAAGTCGCGTCTGACTTTGTTCCTGGGTCTTGGGATATCTATGTCCGTTTTCTTGTGTTCTGTGATCCTGCCGACTACGCCAAATTGTTGGATACTGTTTTCAGTGAGAGTCCAGACACAACTCCCTCAGACCCTCATGGCTGCAGAGAGCTTGTAAACCGGTTTAAGCTGCTTATCATATCTTAGCTCACTCATCACAGCCCAAATAAGGTCTTGTTGTTTTGAGTTCAAACAATGGTCGACCAATGGTCTCCCACAAAGCACGAGCAAAGTTGTCTGAATGCTGGAGATTCGTTCAACACGTTGTGGAAAAGCGGAGAGAGTTTTAGTTTGACTTAAAGCTTACTTGTGATGCTGTCCAGTGGTTACAGGCGTTAAACACTTTGCTTTTTCTGTAAAGGTAAGAGTGAAGAGCAATGTGCTGCAGCCGCCGTTGCTTCCCTTCTCTGCATTCAGCTCGGCTCCAGCATTGAAAGTGAAGAAGTCTTCAAAAGTTTGAGATCCATTCTGAAGACTATTTTTACTGATGAATCAGCCAGCATTCAGACGCGGAAAGCTGTAAGTGTACTCTTTATTTAAAACCATGTGCTTTTTCGCTTTTGTGACCTTGTTATTAACTCCTTCAAGGCCTGTCTCAAAACTCCTCTTTGACTGTGCCTGAGGTCACCCTCCCTATCCTCCACCTTTCCTGATCCCAATCACCAGCTCTTGTCCAAATTCTTGACTGCCCAGTCACTTGGGTGTCCACCCTGACGTGAAAGGGGCATACAAATGTAATTTGTTGTTAATGTTTTATTTGTTTCTTACAGTGCGCTACAAGTTTGGCCATTTGCTGCTATGTAGCTACTGATGATGTTGAGGTGAGTGCAAAGAGAAAAACGGGATTCATTTTGTTGAATAACTCGGGCAAAAGAAATCAGGCAAACTCATCTTTACAAAATTAGTTTTTTTAAAAACCTGAGTCTCCCCTAATGTCCTTGCCAGCAATCCCAGGATAGAATTAGTTATTTGTGTTTATTAGTTCAATTAATCTGTTTGTGGGACATTACTGTGCAGATTGTTTGCCTCATAATATTAATCCTTGCATTTGGTAAGGATTATCACATTGTTGAGACATCTCAAAGTGCTTCACAGATGGGCTGTATTTTGTGGGCGAAATGCAGCACCATTTAATGACAAACAGTGGTGGATTGAATTATCAAATTTTTTACAGGGGAGAGATTAGTACCCCCAGAAAGTGATTCGCCAAATGACTAACAATCGGGTTCTTACTTACTGCTAGGTAAATGAGGCATGTGGAGTAAGGAAACTTGCCTTAGGTTTTGCCTCGCCTGGGAATTGGACCTGGGTCCTCTCGTTTGCTAACCTCCAATTCGACAGAACAGTCAAGGGCGGATGAGCAAGGGAGCAATAGCTATAGGCCACGATTTAAAAACCGAGAGTGGGGGGACAACTCGGAGGGGTAGAAATCTGGCATGTTGAATCTGAAATGGTGATTAGGAGAGGGGCAAGGGGTTACAATTTATGATATTATGAAGCTTAACAAGATGTCTTGGCCATCCAAAGCACTTTACAGTGCTGCGGTCTAGGGCTACTGCACATAATGTCTCCAATAATGAGCCACATAATAAGCAGTCATTCCACTTTATGGTCCATCTTTGATATGTCTTCACACAAAAGGCGCTTCATTGAATGTAAGAATTGTTTTTATTGCCAACAGGACCTGCGCTTGACAATGACGTACCTGGAGAGTCTTTTCTCTGCATTGTACTGGAAGGAGGAGCAGCCGGAGTGGATGCAGAATAACCAAACCACAATGTTGCACATCAGTGCTTTGATTGCATGGACGTTGCTGCTTACCATTTGCCCACCCTCATTAGTGACACAAACACTTGAGAAGTATGTTCACATGGATACAGTTAATCAGAGCTCCTAGAACTCTTGTCAATGCCATTCTAGAAACAGGAGTAGGCCATTCAGCCCCTCCAGTCTGTTCCGCCATTCTATAAGATCATGGCTGATCTGTACCTCAAGTCCAATTACTCACCCTTGCCCCGTATCCCTTAATACCTTGACCTAACAAAATTCTATCCACCTCAGTCTTTAAAATGTGAACAGATGCAGCATCCATAGCCTTTTGGGGGGGAGAGAGTTCCAGATTTCCACTACCCTTTGGGTAAAAAAAAAAGCTGTTAATTTCATTCCTAAAAGGCCGAGCTATAATTTTAAGACTATGCCACCTTGTTCTAGATTCCCTGAAGTTTATCTGTGTCTACCCTATTGAATCCCTTTATTATATTAAAAACCTCAATCAGATCACCCCTCAGCCTTCTAAACTCAAGGGAATAAAGACCAAGTTTATGCAACCTGGCCTCCTAATTTATCACGTTTAGCTCTGGTTTCACTCTGGTGAATCTGTGTTGTACCCCCTCCTGGGCCAATATATCCTTCCTGGGGTGTAGTGCCCAAAGCTGAACGTAGTACTGCAGCTTGTTGATGGACAACTTTTCCTTCAGCATACTTTTTTTAGTGGAATTAAATTGAGCCATTTATGTCAATTCTGGCTGTGAGAACTTACAATTGACAGGCTGTGCTGAATCAACTTGTATACAGTAAATCCACCTCCTGGAGGCCGCTTTTCAGTGAAACTGGCAGCCCTGCAAGTCTGCTCAATGTATCCTCAGCTCTGCATTTGAACGATGTGCCAAATGCTCTCTGTTCATCTTGCACCTTGAGGAGAGGCAGTGGTGGGTACTTGTAACACACCATGGTATGATTTGGTGCCTACAGAAGATAGTAGGAAAATAACCACAAGAAAAGAACCTTTGAAGATGTGTGAAACGTATTTTCATAATTGATTTCCACAAGCCAATGAGTTATAATCCACTTCTTGTATCATCTGAATTTTTATGTTTGCCATTGCCCATCCATGACATTCAGTTGCATGGCGCTGATTTGACTTTACCGAGCATCAAATACAAGATTTGCATCCTGTTCTGTGCTGATTTGATGCCTCCACCAACAACAAGATTACATTTGTATAGCGCCTTTCACGGCGGGAGGACATCCCAAAGCCCTGGGGTGCCTCTAACCCTTAAAAGGTTACTGTGTAAAACAAGTGACCTTCATTTACATCCTAATCTGCAAACTTTACTGTTTCAGACATATGTCCAAACTGCCAACTCTTCTCTCTTGTGGTGATGTGAACATGCGAATCGCGGCCGGTGAGACCATGGCTCTTCTGTTTGAATTAGCGAGAGATATCTGTGAGGTAAGTGTTGCTTTAAAGGTGCCAGGTCTCTTCACCTATACTGGAGTTTGTGCTGATTTCTTTTGGAAGGAAGGTGGAGTTAGGATTAAGATCAGCCATGATCTAATAGAATGATGGGACAGGCTTGATTGGATGAATGGCCTACTCCTGTTCCTATGGAAACACAAAGGCTTGTGTTGGGATCTAAGCAGAATGACTTGCGTGCTTGTTTTCCTGCTGCAAGGGCCAGTACTCATGGGGGCAGATCTGGTTCTACTTTGTTCATTAGACTGGATATTGCTGCATAAGTAAACAGGTTCTCAGTTACCCTGAGGTGGTTAGAACAAGTTTATCCCCGAATTGAAACTATTTGGGAAGTGTGCTTTTCCGGGGTGGGGGGGATTTAAAAGGGAAACTTTGAGAAGACCAATTTAATGTTTCTATTTTCAACATTGGTCAATGTTAATGATGAGAACGAAGTGAGAAATCAAAGCTCGAGTTAAAAATATCTCTGGGCTTAATGGTCATGAAGTTCAAATATCTGTAAGCTTGAGGTGTTGACTTGGCAATTTATTTTCAGGATTTTGACTATGAAGATATGGAACTTCTGTGTGCACAGCTGAAGTGTTTGGCCACAGACAGCAATAAGTACCGGGCCAAAACTGACAGGAAGAAACAGCGTTCTGTATTTAGAGATGTCTTGAGGACTGTTGAGGTACGAGTCAAGCATTTGCACCTTGATCTTCTAGATTCGGGTGCAAACATTGTTTAAAGTGTTTTCTGAATTGAATGGATCAAAGGGCCTTCTCCACTGAACCTCACTTGTGAACTTGTGTAACAGATACCTTGTAATTTGCTTAACCTTCCTTGACCTGGGGTTACATTGTGTGTTGCTTGTAATTTGGCAAGACTGACATTCCATTTCTGTCAGTCCCTTGAGTTATCACTTCCACGTCTTGTGTGTTAGATGACCTATTGAGAGGGAGAAGGATGTAAAACACAGACTGAGGCAGAGATCACAACGTCATGAGAATAAAAGGTGTGGAAGCTGTAGCATTGAAATTGAGAGACCCAGCAAAACTGACTGAACATCAAATGCTTTCAGCAGCTCTTCAGTGGACTGACAGAACATGTACTTAATATTCTGGGTTTATATTAGGAATTAACATTGTCAGTGATTTTATAATGACCTGCAGGCAGAGCATTCTTAAATTGCAGTGAGGTGGTGTGGGTTACTTATGACCTGCAATCGATGGGGGTTGCTGAGTTCTGCTCAGCCTTGGCTCAGTGCCCATGTGTTAACAGCTGATGCAGATTCTGGAACTTGATGTGATCCAGAATTACCAGATAAGAATTAATGCATTCACATTCTGGATTTTCAAAATACTTTTTCTGTACATGCTAGTTCTTAGTGTCCTGTCTGTCGCGGCAAACGGTTTCTCTTCCAATCCCCGCACTGTCTTGTGCGGTGTTCCTCAGGGCTCTGTCTTCGGTCCCCTGCTCTTCACCCTCTACATGCTCTCCCTTGGTGATGTCATCCACAGACATGAGGTAAATTTCCACATGTATGCGGATGACACGCAACTCTACCTCTCTGCCTCCACCCTAACTCCAGGACTACTGAGGTCCTGACCGACTGCCTGTCCGACATCAAGTCCTGGACGAGGGCCAACTTTCTCCAACTCAACATCAGCAAGACCGAGGCTCTCCTAATTGGCTCCCGACAGCGCCTCCGCACCTCAGGCGCTGGCAGCATCAGCCTCCACGGCTGCACACTCAACCTCACTAAGCCAGTCAGGAACCTGGGTGTCTTGTTTGACCCTGAACCGTCCTTTCTCCCCCACATCCGTGCCATGACTGGCCACCACCTCCGCAACATTTCCAGACTCTGCCACTGCCTCATCCCTCAGGCTGCCGAAACCCTCACCCACGCATTCGTCACCTCAAGGCTTGATTACGGGAACTCCCTCCTCATCGGCCTTCCCAACTCTTCCCTTCACAAGCTGCAGATCATCTAAAACTCCGCCTCACTTCCTCCCTTGCCTCCTTCAAGGCCGGTCTCAAGACCCTTCTTCAACCGTGCCTTTGGTCTCCCACCTCTCTGCCTTCCCTCACCCTACACCACCCCTCCCACATGCTTGGGCCCTGACACCTGACTGCTCAGCGCTTTGGGACGTGAAAGGTGCTCTATAAATGTAATTTTGTTGTTGTTGTCGGATGGTTTGATTTCACACAAACTGAGAAGCTGTTGATGGAGGATTGTCTTTCCGTTCTCACCAGTTCTTCTGAAGTGTTTCAATTTGAATGGGGGTTTTGGAATTGAACTTGTTTGTGGGACCCAATCTATTGTTCCTGCATTTACAGGGGTTAATTTGGTGTGAAAGATAATGTTACCCACCAGCGAATCAGGGTGGGGGTGGGAGAGGAGGTAAATGCAGTCTTCTTGAAGCTGCACTGGCTACAGTTTGTGGGGTTTGCGAGGGAATGTTAGAATCGAGTCAACCCCACTGTCTGTTTTGGTTGTTTGGTTCTCTGTCAGGCAGGTTCACATTGCTGTCCAATGCACTGTAAATGACAGATCAGCCAGTCTGGTTCATCAGTGGGGCAGTCCAGTCATTGGGGCAGGGAATCCTCCCACTCAGATTCTGCTAACCCTGCAAGCCAAAGCCCTAAAGGGTCAGGTGGTCCGAGCTGCACAAGTAACAGGAAGCTTACAACAGCAGTGCTTTCAACAGCAAGCTTTTTATTTGCTGGTTAAATTCCACCACTTAACCCAACATGCACATGCATACTAGGGTTCCCAAGCTTGGCTCTCACCAACATGTGTCTAATACCTGGAAATTAGGTCAGCTAGATGTGTCCCAATATAGAGAATGCAGATTCCAATCCATACACAGGGAAATTACCATGTGTAGGTGATGAAAATATAGTGAACTCTGCATAGTTTTGGACACTATGAAGCAAGGTTATGGTTTCTGCCTGTGTCAGACTTCTGGCTGTCTGACCAGGGTGGGGAGGGGAGTTAAATTCACAAATATATCAATCTCTTGAGCCTTTCTTGTCCTTTTTGGCTGCTGGCAATTGTTCAACTTTAAATTGTAAGTATTCTAAGGTTTGTCATATTAAATTTATGATTGAACCTATGCTTACAGACCAGTGTTACAGTATCAGCTGTTCACAACAATACTTCTTATTGGTGTTCAATTGACAACTTGTTTGGCTTTTGGATTCAGAGCTGCAATAGTTCAAAAAGCCTAAACAAGCTGAATTAGGCTCCGCCACTGTTAAGCGCTCTGAGACGCTGCCCCATGTGGAGGGTGTTATATAAGTGCAAGTTGTTATATTCCTCTTTCCTGCAGAAAGGTGACTTTGACTCTGAGACAATAGCATTTGGACCTGAGCGGATGTATATTGACAGCTGGGTGAAGAAACGTTCTTATGAGACCTTTAAAGAAGTCCTTGGATCTGGTATCAGATTGCATCTACAGGTAAGGAGATGTTTTAAACTCATCAACTGGCCATCAGTCAAGTTGGCAAAAGCTCCACTTATATTCCAGTCCTATCAATCATGAAAATTACATCTGGTAGATGGATTAGAGAAATAGATTGTATATAATCCTTCATTGGAATTCCTATCTTTAAACCGTGCTGGGGTGATTCAAAACTGGTTTTAAAAAGAAATTTAAACTGCAAAAATAAGTTGAATTGCCCTTGCTGTAAGGGCAGGCACTGATTTCTGTGGCTTTTTTTTACCACATGATGCCTGTATTGCTGTGAGTTACTGCTATTTCTGTCGGAAGTAAATCTGTTGGATCAATTTTTCACCAAAGGGCCTTATTTTGAAAGCGTCCTCACAATTTGTTGCAAACAAAAAAACAGGAACATTGCTGAAATCTCAAGAATTCCGACCAGACTATCTGTTTCCTCTACGAGGCGGTCTGCTGCACCCAAACACTTCATCCCAATGTGATATCTTTGCTCTGCAGGCCAACGAGTTTGTACGCGGTCTCTTTGAGCTTGGACCACCACCTTTGCTGGATGCTGCCACTCTGAAAGCAACTAAGATTTCTCGTGTTGAGCGGGTAAGCCTGCATGTTCAAATTGGAAACTGGCTGAATTGGTACTTACTTGTGGATTCCCGTAGTGTAGTAGTTAGCGCACTCGCCTTGCAAAGAAAAGGACTCTGGTTCAATTCCCGGCTGGGTCAAAACCTTAAGCAAGTTTCCTTATTCCAAAAAATAAAGAAATAAATTGCTCAATAAATCCACAACTATTTGTGGGACACTGCTGTGTACAATTGGCTGCTGGGTTTTGCCCACAAAATACAGTCAATCCACTGTACAATATTCTGCGAAACACTTTGAGGTGTCTGATTGACGTGATAAGGCGTTATATCAAATGCAAGGATTATTATTACTTATTGCGATTTCACATTGCAGGAGCTGTACTTCACTTCTGCACCTAACAACCCTGGTCCTGAAATAAGTGATGTAATCTTTGTCTGTTTCCTTTGCAGCACTATTACAACGCTGCTGTGTGCAAGGCTCGAACAAAGGCCAGGAACAAATCACGTGACAAGAGAACAGACATTGGCGAATACATTTAAGTTGCATTAAGAATCCAGCCTGATAACCTGGCCTTCCTTCACTCTTCCAACCGTTTTTAAATACAAAACTGATCACCCGAAAGAGTATAATGAATTCCACTATTTATTTTATACTGAATTGTGCACAGATAAGAATGATGTTATGTAATTTGTATTTAACTTTCATTGTTGTAAGTAACCATTTTTGTAACTGCATCTTCGTTTGCATTTAATATTCACTGCTTGGCTAGAGTTGTTCATGGTTAGTGTGATTTGACACATTTATGAAGTGTTGCGTTGTTGGCTATAATTAGATTAATAAATGTACAAGTCAAAATATTATTCGGAAGCTTAACAAATTGTTTTTCAAATTAATGTAAATGTTAATGTAAAATGTAAGTTCAAACAGGGAAACTCCAGTAAACTATTCATGAAGTACATTGTGAAAGATTCCGTCCTTGTCTTTCCTCAAGTAAAACTTTCCCCATCTTAGTGCAACATCCATCCGTCGCTGCCTGCCATGCAGGAAACAGCTGTTTCCTCAGTTGTGAGAAGCACAAGTCTGTTCAGCTGAGCTCCATGCTGTGAATTCTTTTGCCCGCCATACAAATACATAATTCTGTTTCAAGATTTTTCTCATCTGCGTCTAAAATATTTACATCCATGTGTTCATGATACTGGAAGTGTTTCCAGTCTGAAGAGTGCTCAGTTTCCCAATGTGGGACCACTTCAAATGGCCATGTTATGTTGGATTGTGGTCACTGGACCAGCAAAATAGATTGCCTGGAGTTTCTCTTCGATATGTAACTTAATTGACTTGTGATACTGGGAAATTGTCCTATTTAAGTTTTCATACAAGGTGGATGCAGGAGGTTGAGAGATGGCACTGGGAATGGTGCAATAGGCTTTAATTGGGTTGTTTGGGGCACCCAGCGACTGTTCCATGTTTTGGAGGATTTAATTTTTTTAAAAATTCAAGAAGCTTCACTATTGCAAGCATATTACTTCATAAATGTGTTCTCAAGAGTTACTGAAGGCACCAGTCTTGGGGATTTGGCAGTATGCTGGAAATATAATTGTGGTTAATATCTTTTCATAATCTTGCTCCATGTGATCTGGGTGTTGCTTTTATTATTTTGTACTTGTGTTGGGGAAACCAATAAAAGTGAGATGTGTGCAAACTGCATGTTCGTCCACTTCTGTTCATTGTGTCCAATTCAATTGGGGGAGTTCAGGAGATTTTTCGTTGGCGTTCAATGTCTCTGAACAAAATCTCATGTCCATTTCCATTCAGCTGTTGCACAGTAATGGCTGTGCTGCTGTGTAAGAAGGTTTGGTATTGGTTGCTCAGATGAAAGATGCTCACAGTTGTAAGAAGTGCTCTTACCTAAGGTAGCGAATTGTAGGAATGGCCACATTTGTATTGTGGGGCTAAATTACACAAACAGCTCTGCTGTTTGTATCTTTCAGGCTTGGTTCTGGTTCCCTGTTTGGGGGAAGACCATACAAGCCAGTGAGTACATTGCTGCTTGTCTCTGCTCGGCTGCTCAGTGTGCCTGCCACACAGTGACATGCATGCATACATACACACTGTCGCATGATTGTCCACGTGTAAAAATGCCTCTACAGCTTCTTCATTGTTGAAAGCTCATCTTGGTTCTGTGGGCTTTCCACATTCCTCCCTTCCTCATACAGTCAACGGGCTTTTAAATTCCTCAACTTCTTGCTCTCCAAATCTTGTATAGTTCATGTCAATGGCTTCCAGATACTGCACAACATTCTTTACTATAGAGACATAACATTTACCTTCCAAATTCATTGCAGTTTTCCCTGTCTCACAGCTGCCCTGGACACTGCCTCTTGGAATTAACAAGGCTATTCATAATACAAGTGATCTTGGGACAGGATCATGATTTGCTGAGGGGCGAGAAAGAGAAAACATCTGGGCGAGTAAGAATTTAACTTGTATAGTTCTGTAACATCATAGTTAGTATGCCAGCCTCGCCTTCCCCAGGTTAGATTCCTGGGCAGGGTGAAACCTTAGGCAAGTTTCCTTATTCCCAATGCCTCTGCTTTCTTAGCAATAAGTAGGAATGTAATAATCCCTCCAAACAAAACATTTGTTTTTGCTCAATCTGTTTGTGGTACACTGCGCAATTGGCTGCTGCGTTTCACCGATTAAAGTCCACTTTACAGTATATTCTGTGAAGTGCATTGAGGCATCTCAACAATGTGATAAGGCACTGTATCAAACACAAGGATTATTATTACCTCTGAATCTAGAATGTTGCTTTTAGTCTCTTGAAAGATGTAATCGGACTATTTTTATAATCTCCACTGTATCCTCAAGGAATTGTTGGTCCCTCATTGGCTGCTGGCACCATGTTAATTTAAATTTCTTTCAGTGCTGCCAGATGGTGCTAACTACTTTTTATGGCCATGTCGTATTGATCCCACTATAGATTCAGCAAAGGTCTCCATTCCTATTTAGCAGATGCCAGTTGTTTCTTAATCCCTCTAGCATTTTAGCTGGGAAGAAGAGGTACTTGGGTTCAGTTGCAACTCAATTCTCAGTGTGAGTGAAAGTGGTAAGAATTCTGCACAGAATTCCAGACAAGTAATTTTTAATGCAATAGAGTCGAGATTTACTGTTACTGTGCAGTGACGTGGGGTTGTGTCACCTCATTTGTCAACGTATCCTGAGAATACCCAAAACTTGATGGGTTCAGCTGCATTTTGAAAGCAGGCATGTTTAAAGTAACTATAGAGGTGTGCATTGATTGAGTGCCAATGTCTAGAAGCTTTTATGAGAAGCCTGGTTTGGAAGATTGAACTTGAACTCACTTGAACTGCACGGAAACAGATTTCCTGCTGGATTCATTACTATTTGCTCTGGTTGCTGTGTGCAAATCTGTACCATGTTCACTGACAAATAGTCTTTCCAAAGTGAAATTCTGTGAAGTGATTTGAGACATCTGGACGTAATAAGGCACAATATCAAACGCAAGGAATGACTGTTACATTAAAACATGCTTTGCTGATACACCACTGCAGATCCTTTATAAAATGACCTTTCATTCCATCCTTTGCTCCTAAGCAACTGTTACAATTAAGATTGTCCAGCGTATTGTTCATCCTTAAGATGTTAAAAGAAAGCCTTCACAGGGCCCTATTACGCTTTCGCTCCTGCTTTTCAAAATCACACTTTGTCTTCGGTCAGTGAAGCCTTTGCTCCAGGTTGCATCAGCTACAAATGTTTGTACACATCTCTCCCCAAAGCTCCTGCATTCATTGCAGTCGTAAAATAGTGCTCCTGGCTTGCTCCCTGAATCTCCCGTGAGGGTTGTTTGCTTCTCTACTAGATTCCCAAATCACCATTGCTCCATCAACCATCTGCTCCAAACCCTTTCTGCTTGAGTAGCTTTTGCTTTCACACGTTTTTCTCTGGGATCTGCATGTTGGGTCGGACAGGTGTGGCTGCAAACTCCATGCCAGGCTGCCAGGCATTTGGTTATTTCACAAGCTTTTCTGTGCAGATTAAAAAAACAAGCACAGGTGTCCACTGCATCTCCCAAGTTTGACACTCATTAAATGTATTCAATTGTCTTGTGTTTGCACAGCAATAATTCCCCAAGTTTCTGCTCCCCATCTTCCACATGGAGTTTTGTAATGTATTGGTTAGGGCACTCGCCTTGCAAGCTGGTGGACCCGAGTTCGATTCCCAGGGAGGGCCTTTACCTAGCAGTAAATAGAAACCCGGTTAATCGATTGGCAGATCCCTCCATTAAAAATAGCTGTGCAATGGCCTTGAGGCATTGCCTGGCACAGTGTCTGCCGCACTGACTAACCCAACTCTTTATTTTCCCATTGTCCTGGCCGACAATCCCCCCCCCCACCCAAATAAAATTGGTCACTCAATCCATGACTGTTTGTAGGACACTGCTATACACAATTGGCTACCGTGTTTCACCCACAAAAATAGTCGATTCACTTTACAATATATTCTATTTAGTGCATTTAGTGAATGGCTTTGAGATGGCTCAACAATGTGATCAGGCGTTCTAATCAAATGTAGGCATTAGAATAAACGCAGCCATCGGCCAATCGCCAGTGTTTGTAGGACGTAACAATTGTTGACATGGCATGAAAGGTGTTGCATCAAATAGAAGGATTATAATTATTATTAAATAATTTTGAAACCCACCCCTCCACAGGACTCTTAAGTCTTGATTCATGCCTCATGCAGAAACCAAATTAATATGTACATAGAAATTCATTCAATGTGTATCCAGTGCAGGACCTTTAATAACAATTTTTGCATTTGTTATAGCGCCTATCACGTCGTTGGGATATCTCAAAAGTGCTTCACAGAATATATTGTAAAGTGGATTAACTGTATTTTGTGGGCCAATTGCACATAGCAGTGTCCCACGATCAGTCATGCATTTAGTGACCAATTTTTTCTTGAGGGATTATCACCCATGGAAAGCCATCTGCCAATCAACTAACAACCGGGTTTCAATTTAATGCTTGGTAAACAGGCGTGTGGACTAAGGAAACTTGCCTAAGGTTTCGACCCAGGTCCACTCACTTGTGAGGTGAAAGCGCTAACCTCTGCGGGACTTCTGCTCCCCACTTTCTCAATTAAGTTTATCTAATAATAATAATCATTGTGTTTGACAACTCATCACATCTCGAGATGTCTCAAAGTGCTTCACAGATTATGCTGTAAAGTGAATTGATTGTATTTTGTGGGCAAGTGACCAAATTAATATATACATAGAAATTTTCTCAGAAAAATTATTACCCGCGGAAAAGCGATCTGCCAATTGACTTAACAACCCTGTTGCTCCTTACTGCTAGGTAAACAGGTGTGTGGAGTAAAGAAACTTGCCGAATGTTTCGAACTTGCCGGGTCCTCTCGCTAGCGAGGTGAGTGCTCTAACCACTATACTAAGCTACAGGAAGTGAATTTGTTCAAATTTGTTGAATTATTTTGAGGTTGAGTTGAACAAGTACCTCCAAATGAACACTTTGACAGTGATTTGGTTCAATGACCCCATCGGGACTTTGAGATCACTGTCCAGGCAGACACTCAATGCAGTGCTCTCTATAGATTGCATATTTTGCCCACAACATATACAGTCAATTCACTTTACAGTATATTCTGTGAAGTACTTTGAGACGAGCCTTCAGCTCCCCTCTCGACTCTCTTCCCCCTCCTCGTTCCCTCCCTTCCCTCCCCTCACCCTGACCATTTCCCCCCTCCTCGCTCCCTCCCTTCCCTCCCCTCACCCTGACCATTTCCCCCCTGCTCGGGTCATGACCCAACTGTGCAGCGCCTTGGGACGTCCTCCTGACGTGAAAGGCGCTTTATAAATGGAATCTTGTTGTTGTTGTTGTCTCGAAGTATGATAAGGTGCTATACCAAATGTAAGGATTATTATTATTATTTTTGCAACTACCCAGCAGCTCAGTACAACTTGCACATTTTACGGGTTCCCATTGTGCATTGTATGCCATATCAACCAATACACAGTCACTGCACTTGACAGTAAATCCTGAGAAGCATGTTGAGGCGTCCTTGTGAAATGAAAGGCACAATCAAAACGCTAAGATTATTATATCTTTCAACATGAAGCTCAGTTCAGCAGCTGTGTTTTGTGAACGTTTGGCTTGTGGAGTCATGGTTTAGAGTTTTGGAAGCAACAATTGTGTGTGTGACAGTGTTTGACGAGGTGGGGAGGGGTGTCTGCAGTCACTTGGATAATAACAAAACATATGCACGATGATAAAATTGGATATGTGTCATTTAGTTATTCCTGTTGATTGTCACCTTGTTATATCAAAACCTCGTTTAAATGTGAACTGTGAAAAGAAGAGGTGTATTTTTCATTCTGGAATGAGTCCTTCGATTAAGTGCCAGGAGAGTTGAGGACAGACTTAAAGGGTTTGGTGGGGAGTTGGAAAAGTAAAACTGAGAAATGATGCTTGGTTGATTATCGCCATGTCAGCTTTTATATTTTAAAATGTAGAAACCTGATCACTTGCTTTAATCCCATCTATATATAGACACCTGAGAGCAGCCTGGCTGTGTCTTAGGACTATTCTGGACAGATCCTGCCTCGGAAAAGAGAATTTTGGACGTTAACATCCAAATATTCTTATGATATTCCTCGTTCTCTGAGAGACTGTTTCTGCTGTTCTGCTGGTTTGATCTGTGCTTTGCTATGAAAGCTAACCGTTGATTTAGCAGTCAGCCTGGTGAGTAGCATTTACTTGTCTTTCACTGTTGACAAAACAATTTCAGTTGCTGATTTTTCAGCTTTTCCACCGCGCCAAGATGAAACGGCAATTTAACATGACTGTTCCAGTAAAATACTGTAGTTTGAAAGAATGTTACTGCACAAATAGTTAAGTCCTGCATCATAAGATTGTGGTTTTTTTTAGCTATGAGCTGTTCTGCAGTTTCATGTGTTAAAAATATTGTTTAAAGGCAACAAGTGCAGCATTGATATTGCGTTTGTTTGTTTTCACTTCACAGTGGCTCAATTGATGGCACCATAATCTCTGAGTCAGCCAGCTGTGGGGTTGAGCTCCATACCAGGACTTTTTGGAGGGGTGGGATGTTGAGAGCTTCAGCACTACATTGTGGGAGGTGCTCTATTTAGAAGAAAAGCAAGGTCATCTTCGATCGTTGTTTAGCCTTCATCCACATTCAGATTGGCTGGCCTTTCATTGCTGTTTAGGATGCAACAGGCCCGGATAAGCTACAGTCTTTGACCCGGGCTGTGTGAAACCTTAGGTACGTTCCTTACTCCACATACCTCAGTTTACGTAGCAGTAAGTAGGAACCTAGTTGTTAGATGATTGGCGTATCACTTTCCAGGGTTAATAATCCCTTCAATCCTTGACTTTCTGCGACACTGCTGTGTCTAATTGGCTGCTGCGTTTTGCCCACAAAATATACAGTCAATCCACTTTACAGCATATTCTGTGGAGCGCTTTGAGGCGTCTCAACTTTTTTAGTGTGTTTGAGCACAATGAGGGTTTTGCTCTCAGTGAGGGCCAGTGAACAGTCAGGAAATCAATGACCAATCGAGATTGTTGGCCAGGACATCAGGAGAAATTTCCTAATATAAAAACAAAAGTCACTGGGAACACTCAGAACTGACAAAGGGTCGTGGACCTGAAACATCGACTCACTTTCCTCTCTCCATAGATTCTGCTGGACCTGCTGAGTGCTCCCAGCGATTTCTGTTTTTATCTCAGATTTCTGTGTCTACTGTATTTTGCCTTTTTGGAGAAATTCCATTTTCTTTTCAAATATGGTGTCATGGGATCTTTATTATCCCCCTGGATAAGTAAACAAACCTGGTTTAATGTTCCATCTGGAGGAGGGTATCTCCAACAAGGCAACTCCAACTCCCCAAGTCCTCCACCGTCTGGACTAGGAGTTGATTGAACGGTTACATTCACAAGCTTCTGTCAACTGAACCAAGCGAACACCTAATACCCAATGAAGCCTTAACAAAATAGGCAGATGAGAGAGAGGGTTTATAGTTTATAGTAGCGTGGTTCAATAGGCGGACCGCATCTGGCCCAGAGGCTGATTTTATCCGGCTAAAGACCAATTCCAACTTCCGCTCTCTCCCCCATGGCAACAGCAGGAGCCGTCGGCTGGGAGAATGGAGGGCAACGCAGAGACTGACAATAATGCTGGTCATTACTGAAAGGAAAGCAAGTGTGTTTCCTTCTCTCTCACACTCTCGCTTTCTCTCTCTCTCTCTCTGACTGCCACTGCGTTCTTATCAACCGCTGGCCAATGCCGCTGCACATAGTGAACTAGCAGGACTTGTCTTTGATATAATGCCTTATCAAGTCATTGAGATGTTCTCAAAGTGTTTCACAGAGTATATTGTATTATATTATAACTTTTTTGTTTGTTTTTGGAGGGAAAGGGATCCGCCAATCGACTAAGAACCGGGTTCTTACTTATTGCTAGGTAAACAGAGATGTGTGGAGTAAGGAAACTTGTTTTAAGTTTTTGACCTGGGTCCTCACGCTTGCGAGCATGCTAACTGCTACGCTACAGGACTCCCCAATCACTTAACTACGGGACTCCACTTTTGGTTGGTTAAACTCCTGCAGTGCCCCAACGCACACTCTGGGATCCCCAAACCATCTAGTAGTTTTTTGAAATTGGATTAGCAGAGTGCCTCTCTTTCATTCAAGACGCAGGGAAATCTCCATGTGGAGATGCATACACATGTGCAGCTCTGACAGATTTGGATACTCAGCATGGTGATGTGTGTCCACATGTGTCAGACACGCAACTGAGTAACCAAAAATAAACTCATCTGCCAAGGTAACAGTTCAGTAGCTCCAAGTACTGAACTGCCAAGCTGATGAAACCAATTTGAGCCCAGGGCTGTTTATCACACTCTGCTGCTGTCTCACACCAAGGCTTATATTTCAGTTATTTGCAGCTGGACCACTAGATACAGTGAACTGAAGGGACTGAAATACACAACTTGGTGAAAGGGACTATTTCTAACAGTTTTATGGCACCTAAAAATTGATCTTAAAATTCCAGGTACACGTTTCAGTCTTCATTTTCTGGTGCAGAAATTTCACTTTGTTACTGTTATATTTCTGACATGTAGAGTGGACTGTTTTGGAGGGGAAGGGGTGAAAGTTTCAGTGTGTTTAGAGTAAGTGGAGACTACAGTGTGTAACTATTTTCTACTGTGTCTGAGAGGATCAGATAGGCATTATGTTTGTCTCAAATTTAGGCAACGTACCGCTGTGCACAAAGTGACTGCTATGCTAGCCTATGAAAATACACAGTCCCTACACTTTGCAATAAATTCTTTGAAACGCCCTCACAAGACGAAAGATGCTATATGAAATACAACTGTTATGTTTATTTTAAAGATTTTATTGAAACATAATGACTTAATGACATTTCTGGGTACACATTGGCTGCCACATTTGCCTACAAAATAGTCACAACACATGACCGGAAATCCTCTGAAGCGCTTTTGATGTGCTCCCAACGTGAAAGGTGCTAAATCAAATTCAGGGATTATTTGTCTAAAATTTTGATGAATGGATTTATTCTGATTCTAGGTCTTTTTTTAATGGAGTAGGCTCATGTGGAATCTTCTTTTGAGGAACGGGAATGCCTGTAGAATTTCAATTCACATTGCTACAAAGCTGCGCTTTATTTCTTGTGCCAGATGAAAATGCAGAACGATTTCAAGGAGTTGGCCCAGGTTGACTTGGACATTGAAGGAAAGCTGTACGTGGTCGATTCGATAAATAACTTGCACAAAGCAAATGCTTGCCAAGACCCGAGCAATGCATTTTCAAGTAAGTGCAGCTCCAAAATAAAGTTTTAAGGGGTGTTGACTCACTATCTGTAAGATAATTAGGAGTTGCATGCCTCTTGTCTTGTCTCCACTTGCTCCCGTAGCTGGTAGTTCTGATAATAAATTGTTGTTGACGAGAGAGGAGCCTGCCCCAGCAGCCTGGTTGTAAATCATTCATGTTAAACTGAAAGGCCAGCGGATAAACTGGAAGCAACAAGCGAAGCTCCACATCTGAAATGTTACTCATGTTTGTCTCAATTGGAAGTACAGCTGGTGCATTTCCTTTGACTTGCTGAGCATTCCTTTCCCCCTCCCCCGACCCCCACTGACACAAACAAAGCCAATCTTAATTTGATCAGTTTGTGATATCTTCCCATTCTTGGTGGTTCCTCACAGTTCTATCTCCAAGCTTTCAATTCAATCATTCATGGTGCCATGGGCAACTCGACTTGCCATTGTGATTGATGCCATTGCTATTACTGTCTGGTGAACTACATTCCCGCTCCCCGAAACCTCTCAAGTCGTCTCTTGCTTTTGTTTCCTCCACTGCGGTTCAAACATTACGGAGTCCCATAGCCTAGTGGTTAGCACGCTCACCTCACAAGGGAAAGACCAATGTTAGATTCTCGGACGGGGCGAAACCTTAGGCTCCACACACCTTGGTTTATCTAGCAGTAAGTAGGAAGCCGGTTGTTAGTTGATTGATGTATCACTTTCCGGGGGTAATAATCCTTCCCCCAAAAAACAACAAAAATTATCATTCAATCACAACTGTTTGTGGGACTTTGCTGTGCGCAATTGGCTGTCGTGTTTCACCCACAGTCAATCCACTTTACAGTATATTCTGTGAAGCATTTTGAGACGTCTCAATGACGTGATAAGGCAGTTTAGCAAATGCAAGGATTATTATTATCAAACCTGAAAATGTGTTGCTCAAGTTGATGCATTGCCTGTTGGAGAATGGATAGTACAGAAACAGGCCACTTGGTGCAACCAGTACGTGCCAATGTTTATACTCCGCACAAGTCTTCACCCATTCCTTACTCCCTCCCATACCTTTCTGCTCCCTTGCTCATGTCAAGACCTTGCTTCTTTTTAAATGTATCCACGTGAGCTCACACACTGGCTCTCTGGAAGCTATTGTTTAATCACGTTCCACACTGTTGCTCTCGGTGTAAATCTCTCCTGTGCTCACCAGAATATGGCGGGGGTCCTGCAGAAGCCGAAACAGTCAGCACAGAAGAAGCGCAGAACAGCAACAGAAAAGCGACGTCTGATGGTATGAGTCACGGAGGTTAAGGGCAATTATGCTGGAAGTTTAGTGCTGTCCATTTAGTTTTGGTCAACCGCGTGTCTGACACATGCTGAAACTTATCACCAAGTCTAAGAGTCTCCAAACTTAACTATTGAGGGTTCCATACATACTTGGTCTGTTGTGGAATTGGCACTCTCTGCCCAGAGAGAAAAAAAGAACTCTGTTTGCCAAGTTTGGCAAGAACGCTGGTTGCCAAGAGCCAGGATTTAGAAATCTCAGAGTGTTCACTGGGCGTTCTGCTGTTGTTTAACCAGCTAAAACTGCAGCAGAGCTTGTTATTGTAATTAATGTCCTTTACCTTCTGTTAAGCTTCTTGCTGCTTGTCCAGTGAAAACCACCCTACCCCTTTGACGTGCAGGTTAAATGGAGATGAGTGGGAAGAATCCCTGCTCCCAGTAACTGGTCTGCTCCAAAGGGAGTGTGTAGATGAGGAGGATGGGGATTTGCAGTCTCGCAGTGGAGTGGTTAGCACGCTCGCCTCCCAGGAGGAGGAGGAGCTGGGTTCGATTCCTGAGCGGAGCGAAAATTTAGGCAAGTTTCCTTACTCCGCAAGCCTGTTCAGCTAGCAGTAAGTTGGAACCCAGTTTTTAGTCAATTGGCAGATCGCTTTCTGGGGATAATAATCCCTCAAAAAAAAACCTCAATCCACCACGACTGTTTGTGGAACACTGCTGTGTGCAATTGGCTGCCGCGATTTGCCCACAAAATACAGTCAATCCACTTTACAATATATTCTGTGAAATGCTTTGAGACGCCTCAATGATGTGATAAGGAGCTATGTCAAATGCAAAGATTATTATTAAATGTGAGCATGCACTAGTTGGGCCGATTGGCCTGTTTCTGTGCTGTATCATTCCATGTGAGGCTCAGTACTGGGCGGTGCCTTTATCCATAGCAAAATATATTAAAATATACGGGAAGTCAAAAATAACCTTTTTGACAAAAGAATGTGACTAAATGTAACAAATAAGGCTGCTTTCATTCCCATATTGACAGGCAAAACTCACTTTACCTTTCACATCCAACAGCTGCCAAATCTCCTGGGATTAGTCCTGAACCTTGTTTCCATCGTTTGAGGAAACGCATGCTCCCATGTGTGATGACCGTGCTGCTGCTGGTGAGCTTTGGGCTGGGAGCGCTTGCCATCTATCTTATCGGTGAGTGTCAAACGTCCACTCCAATCACAAGTGGTGTCATCTGCCGGGATGTTTTAGTCCCCGAGTGCTATGTACATGTTCAGATCGTCTGTTCTCAAGATAGACATCGAGGCATCTGACTCGTGATGAAATGAAAAGTGTGCGCAATTGAAATTTTCAAGACTGAGGTGGATAGATTTGTTCGCTAAGGGTATCGAGGGATATGGAGCAAAGGCAAGTTAATGGAGTTGAGGTACTGATCAGCCATAATCTAATAGAATGGTGGAACAGCTCAAGGAACTAAATGGCCTTCTCCTGTTCCTATGTTCCTATGCTCATTGTAGCTTCATATTGAAAGAAAAGCTACATATGAAAGAGTTTAGTACCATGTCAGCTAGAAATTGGGTGTTGTTGGGACAGACGATTCCTGAGACTTTTAAGGTCAACATTAGATAAATATTGTAGGATAGAAAAATGATCAACAATAGATAAATGACATTGGATAGAAAAATGATCAACAATAGATAATATCCAAAAGAAAAATGTGTTAAATAAAAAATAACGTGGAAAAATAATATGGAGAATCTGGCTGAAAAGGGCTTGTAATCTTATAAACTGGCAGAATGGTCTGCACTGCTGGCCTATTGGATTTAGACCTTAACTAGATTTAGACTTGTCTCCTCTTCCCTAGTCCATGTCAAAAGACAGGTGTCATAGAATCATAGAATTATACAACACAGAAGGAGGCTATTCGGTCTATTGTAACTGTGCCGGCTCTTTGAAGAGAGCTACCCAATCAATCCAATTCCCCCGCTCTTTCCCCATAACCCTGCAAGGTGTGTCATGGGACTGACTGACTTTCAGACAAGAGAAGTCGATGCAATTGTAAACCGAGCTGTGTTAAAAACCAGGCTCTTTCATTTATCCAGTCCGGATGGAAAACCAGTTGGATTACATCTTGAACAAAGTGGATTCTGAAGAGAAAAACATTGAGAAAATCAAGCTGCTGATGCTGAACCACTTAAATCTTTCTGAAGAGACAACAGCAACTGAAGGTACCTCTCCAGCCGCTGCCCTGCGCCCATGAGTCCAAGGAGCATGTGATGGCAGGGCATCGTCATGCTTATGTGGACAGCTGAACTGCTGCATATCTTCCAAAAGCATCAAAGGATTTCCTGATGTCATGAGGAAGCTTACATTTGTGCTTTATGCAGTCTTCTTCCACGTTGTCTGGCGTTGCACTGATCGGACATCAGTCCAGCAAACACAGCCACTTGTGATGTAAGTGGATCTTATTTGGTGCAAAAAATTTTATGGGAGGCATTTTGTGATTGGACGGCTGTCTGCAGTGAATATCATAACGCCTCAGCACAAGCTGTCTTCGTCCCATTAAACAGCTGCACTCCAAAGTGTGTTGTCACTGAAATGCCTGAACCCGAAACTCTCGGAACAGTCGCTGGCCAGTGGTGAGCCCCCGGGGATGGTATTGGGTCTTGCAAATGGAGACTGGCAGGTGGAGCAAACAGTAAATCTGTGACTGTAAGTTGGTGAGACAGCTGAGTTGCATTTGAATGGAAGTGGCTGTATCGCAATGCGTAGTGATCATCACTCTGTTGCATTGCCTGATTGCAATGTGTTGGTGATGGGAGTTTTTTCCTCTTTGATATTCTTTAAACTCAATACGTTCATTTTTTTTTCATTTGGAATTTCATGAGTTAATCATGGCAAGAAATCTCCCCTGTTATTTCTGTTGCTCTATTCCACAGTGCGATTGTTTTCATGCTGCACAAAGGAGTTACATTAAATGCTCCCTTGGTTTGAATTAGGAATGGATAAACATGTATTTATGTATTGGAATGCTGAATATTAATAATCCTTGCCTTGGATCTTGCACATTTCCTCATGGGAAGATGTCTCAAAGTGCTTCACAGGGTTTCCAGTAAAGTGTGATTGTATTTTGCGGCAAATATGGTTCTGATTTTCAAATAGGAATTGTGCCACAAGCAGCTGTGAAACAAATGATCAATTTTATTTATAATTATAATAATCCTTGATATTGCACCTTATATCATTGAGATGTCTCAAAGCGTTTCACAGAACACAGTATATTGTAAAATGGATTGGCTATGTATTTTGTGGGCGAAATGTGGCAGCCAATTGTGCACAGCAATATCCCACAAACAGTCGTAGATTGAGTGACCAATTTTTTTTACATGAGGAAATGCTACAAATATTCCCACATCTCTGAATTCATTTCCAAAAATAAAATTTTCCCAGGACGACAGGAAAAGGAAATTTAGAAGGTACGAATGCCACTGAAAAGCTAAACACTATTGCCAACACAAACAAGAGTTACAGGGAGAGTCTGGATCTCTTGTGACAGTGTTGATTGGCAGTGACTTTACCACCAGCAGTCTGTCAGCCAGTAACCTGGAGAAACAGCTAAATTAATGACAGGGCAGTCAGTCACCAGTGTGAATGGGGGGAGCTGAGCAGACTGGCTGTGCAGTCTCCTCCAGGCACTGCCTGGCACGGTGCTTGCCGCACTCACCGACACAACTCTTTATTTAAAAAGCGAAAGGAGTTTCTCTCTCCCGTTATGATGGCCGACAATCCCCCGAATAAAATCAGTCACTCAATCCACAATTGTTTGTGCTCAACTAGCTGCCGCATTTCACCCACAAAATACACAGTCAATCCACTTTACAGTATATCCTGTGAAGCACTTTGAGACATCTCAAAGATGCGATAAGGCGCTATATCATAGAATCATAGAATCGTGCAGCACAAAAAGAGGCCATTCGGCCCATCGAGTCTGTGCCGGCTCTTTGAAAAGAGCAATGTAATGTCAATCCCACTCCCCAGCCCTTTCCCCATAACCCTGCAAACCCGTCCTCCTCAAATACCCATCCACTGCGTTTTTAAAAGTTGTTATCAAATCGGCCTCAACCACCCTTTCAGGCAATGCGTTCCAGATTCAAACAACTCGCTGCGTGAAAACATTTCTTCTCACCTCCCCTCTGCTTCTTTTAGAGACTATTTTAAATCTGTGAGCTTGAGTCACCGACACACCCATCAGTGGAAACAGTTTTTCCCTTTCTAACCTATCAAATCCCCTTATGATTTTGAAGACCTCTATTAGGTCTCCTCGTAACCTTCTCTGCTCCAATGGGAAAAATCCCAACCTCTCCAGCCTTTCCTCATAATCAAGGTCCCTCATTCCTGGTACCATTCTTGTAAATCTCCTCTGTACCCTTTCCAATGCCTTAACGCCCTTCCTATAGTGTAGTGCCCAGAACTGGGCGCAGTATTCTAACTGAGGCCTAACCAGTGTTTTATATAGGTTAATCATAACCTCCTGACTCTTGTACTCTATGCCCTATTTATAAAGCCTAGTATCCCATATGCCCTTTTTACAGCTTTATCTACCTGTCCTGCCACCTTCAAGGATTAATTTACCTGAACCCCCAGGTCTCTCTGTTCCTTCACCCCACTTAAGATTGTATTACCAGCCTATATTGCCTCCCCTCATTCTTTTTCCAAAATGCAATACCTCGCATTTCTCCACATTGAAATTCATCTGCCATGTGTCTGCCCATTTTACCATTCTGTCTATGTCTTCCTGCAGTTGGCTCCTATCCTTCTCACTGTTTACCACACTATCTAACTTTGTGTCGTCAGCAAACTTGGAAACGGTACTTGCTATACCCAAGTCCAAATCATTTATATATATATTAAGAAGAACAGTGGTCCTAATACCGATCCCTGGGGGACGCCACTGTGCACTTCCCTCCGGTCAGAAAAGCAGCCGTTCACCACAACTCTCTGCTTTCTGTCTCCCAGCCAGTTCTGGATCCATGCTGCCACTGTCCCTTTTATACCATGGGCTTCTATTTTTCTTACAAGTCTTTTATGTGGCACTTTGTCAAATGCCTTTTGAAAGTCCATATAAACTACATCAACTGCACTACCTTTATCCATCCTCTCCATTACCTCATCGAAAAATTCTATTAGATTTGTTAGACAAGATTTGCCTTTAACAAATCCATGTTGGCTGTCCCTAATTAACCCATATTCTTCTAAGTGAAGATTTATTCTGTCCCAGATTATAGTCTCCAGGAGTTTCCCCACTACTGATGTTAGGCTGACTGGCCTGTAGTTCCCAGGTTTGTCCTTCTGTCCCTTTTTGTACAGGGGAGTCACATTGGCCACTCTCCAGTCCTCTGGCACCACCCCTGTGTCCCACGAAGATGAAAAATTGTAGCCAAAGCCTCCGCTATTTGTACTCGTGCCTCCCATAGTACCCTTGGCTGCATCCCGTCCGGACAGGGCGACTTGTCTACCTTGAGCCCAGTCAACCTTTTCAGTACTTCCTCTTTGTTTATACTTATCCTATCCATTTCCTCTGCCCTCTCCTCCGATACTGCGGCATTTGGTGCATCCACTTCTTTTGTGATGTTAGAAAATAAAATCAGCCAAATCTGTAAGGAAATAACACTAATTCCTTTAACCAGATATCAGACTGTTTTATTATTATTCGTTCGTTATTCCCCAATATCCCGATGGGTCAGACCAAAGGCCGGTACAATCAACAGATCTTATAACAGAATAATACCACCGTAGATATCTCAAGTTCAACACTGTGTCTTTACAGCACACAAGCTTGATTCTTAATGCTTTCAGTCTTCTTGCTTACAGCTTTCAATCTTCCATCTGATATCCTCAGTCTTAGTGTTTCTAGCTCTCAGTCTTCCTCATCTCCCGTACCCTTGTCTCCGCAGCCCGGGACAGCCCCATCTCCCGTACCCTTGTCTCCGCAGCCCGGGACGGCCCCGTACACAAAGTTATCGGAACTCTTATACCGATGTTCGTCCAATCATGGTGCGGACATTAGATCACCCGGTCGAAATCATACTGGGTTCACGTGAACACCTCATGGGGTGTACGTGCCTCAGCACTGAAACACACTGTCCTTAAGATCCCTGTTATCTGATGCTTGTTATTTTGTTAGGTGGGATCATTAGTACATTCCTTTTAAGTGACTGGTTATTTCTTATCAGTATCCTGGGATGGTACCAAGGTCCTCTAGTTTAAGCAATTTGCTCATTAGCTGCTATTATTGAGGGTTGCCTTTTGTTGCTCTTGAGTGTTAATCATGAGTGTCAGTCCAGTTGTCCCCCACACTTAACTTAAAGTTAACCTGTTCGCAATATCTATTATGATTCTAGCATTATACAACAAGTGTAAATTCTAACAGTGAGACAGATGCAAAGTATTCATTCAGTACATCAGCCATGCCCTCTGCCTCCACAATAAGATTACCCCCTTGGTCCTTAATTGGCCCCACCCTACCTCTGACTAACCTTTTTTTCTTGATATGTTTAAAATATTTTAGGATTCCCTTTAATGTTACCCGCTAAACTTTTTTTGTATAATCTTTTTGCCCCTCTCATTTCCTTTTTTAGTTCTCTTCTGTACGTCGTGGAGTCCTGTAGCTCAGTGGTTAGAGCACTCGCTTTGCAAGTGAGAGACCTGAGTTCAATTCCAGGCAGAGGGCGAAACCTTGGGCAAGTTTCCTTACTCCACACAGAGCCTAATAATCCCTCCAAAACCAAAAACAATAATAAATTTGTCATTTTCAATCTACGACTTTGTGGGACATTGCTGTGCGCAATTGGCTGCCGCGTTCGCCCACAAATATACAGTCAATTCACTCTACAGTGTGTTCTGTGAAGCGCTTTGGGACGTCCTCCTGACGTGAAAAACGCAATATCAAATGCAAGGATTATTATTATTATTATTACTTTCTATATTCTATCAAATGCAAGGATTATTATTAAGAGGGTCACCATCAGGTCCAGCCCTCCAATTCACTGTCAGGTGGGCTAACAGGAGGTGGTGATGGCAGCCTCCCGAAACAGTCCCTCAAGTCCCGTGATGTTTTTTAAAAAATCTTGTGTTTTTGAAAATTTAACACATTATAGTAATTATTTCAAGAAGGTTTATGTCCTTTCACAGGAGTGTAGTGACTGTGTATTTGCAGACAAACACTGCACCCAGCAATTCTGGTGATTTGTTGGCAAGAACACTGGGAGAAACTACAGAGTCTTAACAAGAACAACAAAACAAGCAAATATGAAGTGACTGAATAAGGAATGAAATTGCTTGAAACTAGAGGCAGCGAAACAGTTTCCCACCTTTGGTTTAGTGAAATAAATATCTCCCTCAAAAGGATGGCCAGTCTGACCTGCCTGGGGGGATTTGAGAAGGTGGCTCCTCTTCATGGTTCTGAGTTCTGGTTGGTTGTGAGTGAAATCAACAAATATCTGGTTCTGGAAATGTGCCGGACAGGCTAGCAGCTGTTTTCACCCTGTGAAGAATCTTAGGAACCAACCGAAGCCCAGCACACCATGGACCGCCGTCTGGCACCTCATTGGGAAGTAAACGAGTTTGTTGACCAAATGATTCCATCTGCATGATACATGTTTTGCTGCCAGATCTTCTCAGCCAATTATTCTGTTCCCTTCCTGCGTGAAAACAAGGATGTGATCCAACGGTTGCCATGCACCCTCTGTTATCTCACCCAAAAGCCCATTATTCATGTGAATTCCTTGACAACCATTACTGACGGGTTAATTTTGGTGCAGAGGAGGGCACGAGTCACTCCAATCTTATCAATTCTCAAATCCAGCTTGTGTCCTTGCCCTTCACTCTCTTTGTCTCATTGTCATCTGGACAAAGTGGAGTTTGCGAACACAGTCACTACTTTTGACAGTGACTCCCTGGGAAGCATTTTTAGACATTTGGACTTTGTAAATGTCCTTCCTTCAGCTTAAGGAACTTTCTTCCTGATCAAGATCTCGTGGCACTATTCAAAAGGAGAAGGGAATTTTTCGCTTCTCTTCCAGTATTTCCACTGGGGATGCAAAAGTCAACATTGTTTGAAGTTTGTGGAAATATCCTTACAAAGCTGCCTTTTCCATTTCCCTCTCAATATTAAGGTTTTAAAATTATGAGCTAAAAGCTGAACTCCACACACTCTCCTTCAGATGGACAGTGAAGTGTCTGAAACATCTCAAGTCTTCTGAGCTTGCTCTGGTTTGAACTTGTGGCACTGGCATCATCTGCTGGGCAGTGCAACCACACTGTAAATCCCTTCATGTGATTTTGCCTCGTTCTCGTTTCGAGGATGTCTCAAAACACTTCACAAGATTTACTGCAGCGTGTAGTGACTATGTATTTTGTGGGTGAATGTGGCAGCCAATTTGTGCACTGCAATGTTCTATAAACAACCATGAAGTGAATGAATGATCTTAATGGGGGGAGGGGGCTTGTTGTTGGCCAGGACACCAGGCGAAACCTGAATATCCACCTGAACAGACACACAACACCAACAAATGACATTTGTAAAGCGCCTTTCACGTCGGGACGACGTTCCAAGGTGCTGGACAGTCAGGGATCCTCACCTGAGCTGGTGGTTAGGAGCAGGACGGGGTGGAGGTAGGAGAGTGACTGAAGGCACAGTCGAAGAAGAGGATCTTAAGACGGGTCTTGAAGGAGGCAAGGGAGGGGGTGAGGTGGAGGGACTGCGGGATAGAGTGCCAGAGGGTGGGGGCAGAGAAACTGTAGGCCCGCCTGCCAATGGTGGGGTGGGCAAGGTGGGGGATGTGAAGCAGGCCACAGGGTTAGGAGGAGTGAAACCATGGATGGCTTTGAAGGTGAGGACCATCATCTTGAACTTGAGCCAGACGAGGATGGGGGTGATAGTGTCATGGAGCCTAGTTCGGGAGAGGACACGGACTGCAGATTTCTGGATAATCAAGACCTCGGTTTAATATGTCATTGGAAAGACAGCACCTCTGAAAATGCAGTGCTCCCCCAGCACTACATTGGAGTGTCAGCCTAGACTATGAACTCAAAAGACCTGATGTAGGGATTGAACTGACAATCTTCTAACTTGGAGGCAAGAGTGTTTCCAACCGAGCCAGTTAAATTGGAGAATTGTTTCCAATTTTCTTTTTGAATGGACATCACACCCCACGTCTCTCCTGTGACCTTTCTGGCCTCAATTATATTATAACAATAATAATAATCCTTGCATTTGATATAGCGCCTTATCACATTGTTGAGATGTCTCACAGCACTTCACAGGATATATTGTAAAGTGTAGTGACTGTATTTTGTGGGCGAAATGCGACAGCAATTGCACACAGCAGTGTTCCACAAACAGTCATGGATTGAGTGACCAAATTATTGTTATCACTTTTTTTGGAGGATCCTCTCACTTGTGAGGTGAGTGCACTAACCACTATGCTACAAGACTCCAAGATTAAATTGCACAAAGTCAACTTTTCAACAAAACCATCCAAACAAAACACATTGACAGGTGCTCTCTGCTCAATCATGCTTTCTGTTCAGTTTGGAACTTTTCGTCAGCAATAGAGATCAACTTAAGGTTTCTAAGTATTGAAGTGACTCCAGGACAGCCACAGACACACAAACACAGGTAGAACTCTGGGGAAATTTAGTCATTGGAAAGGATGGATTTGTACTCATTCAGACTTTACTTCTCAACCTTTTGTCTCAGATCAATTGTAGTTTTACTAAAAATAATATTTTTTATATTTCACTTCGGTCGTTTACATTGGGAGGGCATCTCAAAGCAATTCACAGGATTCACTTTAAAGTGAAGTAACAGTGATGTCTCACAAAGTTATTTTGGGAGAATTGTTGGCCAGCAAAATGGGAGAAGATCCCTTCTCTTTTCAAACAGTGCCTTAGCTTCTTTAAATCCCACCTAAACCTCAGATAGACATTCTCAGTTAAACATTTCATCTGAAGGACAACATTGTGAGCAATCTAGTACGCCCCCAGCTCTGTACTTGAATGTCAGCATAGACTGATGAAGTTAAAGTCCTGATGTGGATCTTTGACACCTAACCTGACCAAGAGGCGATAGCGGAACCAACTACTGATACAGACTGTTTCTGCCCCATATAATTCAATCTGACTCAAAAAACATCATTTTATTTCCCTGGTGACCAGTGGAGGGCGCAGCAACACCACAGCTTCTGCTCTGGCTTCTGTGCTCTCTGCAGGGTATTTAATGAATATGAGGAAACATATTTTGGTCAAATGCTGAAAGCAGGTAGGAAGTGCAGGATTGAAGAATAACACAAAGCTATCAAAATCATTCATTCATTCAATGCACAATGCAAGTTGTATGGGCTGCTTTTCAGTTTTGCCATCTGTGATTTGCCCATTAAGGTTGACGTGTTTAGTTGTTTGTTCCGCCTATTTAGAAAATGCCAGTCAGTGTGTGTGTTATAGCTTTCTACACGTTTGGCCTTGCCTTGTGTTTGCAGTGAGCACTTGTGAGGTTTTTGAAGACTTTCTGAAAGCTTTAACAAAATAAAAAGTCAAAAACTCCATAAGCCTCCGGCAGCTCATCACAAGCCAGCTCTGCTTCTCCCCAAGCCAGCCAATTGCAGCATCGATGAATGGAGCTGTGGATTAACTGCTGCTGTCTGACTGAGCAAAGCAGCCGTGAACTGCTTTGGGTTTTAGTGATGGGCCAAAATGTCAAGCTCGTTTTCTTTGATGGCCACTGTTTTGAGCTGCGGTGGGATTCCATGGTTTACTGGTTCAAAATCAAATTTCCATAGTGCTGCACCAGCTCAGAGACGCCCTGTCCACTGATACAACACTGATTTGATACAAGGGTTGACATTCTATGATAACAAAATACAAATGTATTTCAATGACAATATTTCTCAGTCCAGGACATGGAAAAGCAAAGTTGTTTTTTTAATTTTGTAAAACCGCTCAGAAAATCTTCGAAACGCCTTTTACCTTGTCCTCTGTCTTCAAAACCAACCCTTCATAAATATTTAGCTCTAATCCATTGTCCTTGCTCGCTCTCTCCCTACCATTGACTATGCCATTCCTTAACACCCTCAGACTTTCTTCCCATTCTCTTTCCCAACTTCCTTCATCTTTGTGAAGCAGTTCTAGACATCCATCATGGTTGAAAGTTATCCAGTGATCCTCCAGATAAATTGGTCATTCGTTTCAATGCCTGTTTGTGAAGCAAGGTCATGCACAGGCCTGGCTGCCACATTTGCTTGCGTGAACACTTGACAGCAATTACCAAGTGTTTTGAGCTGTTTCATGGTTATCGGCGCTGCATCAAATGCAACGATTGTATTTGTTTGTGTTGTAAAGGTCTCCAGGGCACATTGTGTGCACAAACCTTGTGTTCAATTTAATTTTCTCTGCATGTCATGATTTATGTTTAAGCTCTGTGAAAGACATGGCATGGGTGTCAAGTTTTGGTATTTAGTGCTCATACTCCCAACAGTTCCTGTTGTTTGCTTCCAGCGGTTGGGCTGTGCAAACAGAATGCTCCAAGGCATCCTTTATCATAACTATAAGCTGTAAGGCCATCAGGACTGGTATTCTATGCCCTTCTTTCCTGCACGACTCCCACCCCCCTTCCCCCTTAATGTAGTGGTTAATGCGCTCCCCTTTTAAGGCGAGTAGACCTGGGTTCGATTCCCGAGCAGGGCAAAACCTTAGACAAATTACCTTACTCCACTGTTTACCTATCAATAAATAGGAGCCCAGTTGTTATTCAATTGGTTAATCTCTCAAAAATGATTGAGTCACTCAATCCACGTTTCTTTGTGGGACATATCTGTACTCAATTGCCTGCTGCGTTTCGCCCATAGTCTATCCACTTTACAATATTTTCTGTGAGGCGCTCTGAGACGTCTTCTGTAAAGTGCTTTGAAATGTATCAAATGCAAGGATTAGTATTATTATTATTCTACGCCTCATCTCAGTGTTTATTTCAGCTTTATTAAAGAGTACCACTACCTTTAAATTCAGTGAATCACGAAAACACTTTATTATACGTCGCATAACAAATGACTTGAAATCTAAAAGTGCATGTGTCACAAAATATATATAAGTTAGCAGCACCAGGGTACAGTTCAAATAAATAGATGATTTCACAAATAAATTATGGCATGTAACATTATCGTGGATTGTCAAATATTTGCAATGACTAAATGTAGTTCCTTCGTGCACACTCAAATTTTTATTCTCGTGTGTTTTTTTATTTACAATCAATAAATACGTCTAATACTTTCATTATGATCACAGATACAGAATACTGTTGCGACAGGGTTTGTTTCGGTCTTCTCAAAAAACATCGGACCTTCCTGCGAGAAAACAGAAAAAAAGGTCACTTTCTTTATTCAGTGGAATAAATATCTTCTTTAGAATGTAATTCAAACCTATAGGAGTTCCGTGGTGTATTGGTTAGAGCGCTCAACTCGCCAGCAAGAGGACCCGGGTTTCATTCCCAGGTGGGGTGAAACCTTAGGCAAATTTCCTTTCTCCACACACTTCTGTTTACCTAGCAGTAAGTAGGAACCCGGTTGTTAGTTGATTGGCGGATTGCCTTCCAGTGGTTTTAACTAAATATTGGGTTTCCCTGGTTCTGAGATTCACAAACCAACCTATTCAGCCTCAGGCTTCCTTTATATAGCTGCTAAACCTATCGTCAGGAACACAGCACCACTGCACTTTTTGAATAAAATGAATCTGATTTATATTGAAAGTGAATATTACACATAACACATAATGTCCATCCTTGATATGATATAGTGCCTTGTCACATGAAAATGTCTCAAAGTGCTTCATGGGCTTTATTATAAAGTGCAGTGACTGTGCGTTTTTGCAGACGAAACGTAGCAGCCAGTTTGCACAGAGCAACGTGCAATAAATAAATGATCAATTTTATCTGGGCAATTTTTGGCCAGCACACCAAGAAAAACTCCTTTCTCCTTTTCTATAGTGTTGTGCATGATAGATTGGGAGGGAAAGATTCTGTTGGATCTTTAAAGTCCACTTGAACTGGCAGACGGGACCTCAGTTTAACATCTTATCTGAAGGATGACACTTCCAACAATCCCCCAGCACTCCCCCAGCACTACACTGGAGTGTCATCATAGAGTTCAACGTCCGACATGATGTTCAAACCCACATTGTTTTCCAGTGCACAAAAGTGCACCTGTTATAGGTGATTTGACCTTGAACTCTGGTTTGATGATCTCAGCGGTTGGCTGGTGCAATTGGCTCAGCTTTGCGGAGAAGTAAATCAGCCAGCGTTCTCATGCCTGATCACTAACCAGGCACATGTGCCAGAGGTCTGAGGAGAGGACAGGATCAGGCACAAAGCCATCCCAATTGTGGTCAAATAATACTCACGCATGAAAAATGACCAATGGATGAGATAACAAAGCACCAGTGCCCTCCAGTGGAACGAACAATTAATTGCATGATGGACTGGGATGGAGAGTGGGAAAATGTGTGCAATAATTCTCAGTAATATGGGCTTGTAGGTTTTAAACATTCCATTTCTCTGACTTCACAATGTTGTGGGGTTTGCACCAACCCATTTCTGCTGGTATTATTCAGAAATTTACCAATAAATCATTCATCTGACATTTTATTTAATAAGCAAAGTCATTATGTTCTGCCTATAAGCGAGACCTCCTCTGCTCAGCTACCTTGGGCTTGCATCATTGCCCTTGGCTTGTCTCCTGCATCATTATCGGTGGCCGAGCTTCAGTTACTACGGCCCAACCACTGGAACACTCTCCCTCCTTCAGATATTTGAGACATGACACATAGTAAGTGTAGTATGTTAGGAAAAACCAGGCAACTTTGGATCTAAGGTTCCTGAAGCTTTCCACTCTGTTGTCAACATCTCCATTATTGTAGCATGTGATTACCAGGATGGTAGAAGCTGAACTAGCTGCACCTTAGTCTTTTTTTGTCTTGCAATTCTTATATTTGTCTCGCACCTTTCTCTTACTGTCTTTAAGCAGCTCCTCAAAACTGACTTCTAACACACCTACACCCCTTTTCTCCTCTCACTCACTTGGCATCTGAACCCGTCCTTGTGAACCTCTCTGAGATATTACCCGGTAGTACGAAGGGCATGATAGAAATGCAAGTTATTGCGACATTTGGCACAGTAAGATGCTCAGTGTGTTCATTCTGTTGACAGGAATGTGCAAGATCTGACCTTTACATTAAAATTTAATTCAGTGATCACTGTTTAACGAGATAGGTTTTTCCTTCTGGCTATTATTGTACAGGGTGAATAACAAGTCATGATACCATTGCAGTGTCTAATAAGACTTAAAGAAATTATGATATTTTTGTTTTGTTTTAGATAATATCATGACTTTTTGGTCACCCTGTACATTTTTTTTTGGTCCTTGACCTGCACTAAAGCAACGAAGAATTGTTTTGAGAATAACTGCCATTTCCCCCCCCCCAGTTATGGAGTCCCATAGCATAGTAGTTAGCCTGTTTGCCTCGCAAGCAAGAGGACCTGGGTTTGTTTCCTGGGCGGGGCCAAACCTTAGGCAAGTTTCCTTACACCACACTCCTCTATTACCTAGCAGAAAGTAGGAACTCGGTTGTTAGTTGATTGGCAGATAGCTTTCTGAGAGTAATAATCTTTCAAAAAAAATGTGGTCAGTCAATATCCACGACTGTTTGCGGGATACTGCTGTGTGCGATTGTCTTCTGTGTTTCACCCTCAAAATACAGTTAATCTACTTTACAATATATCCTGTAAAGCATTTTGAGATGTCTCAACAACTATATGCAAGGATGATTATTATTATTATTACTTAAAATGCACCTGCCGTTGGGGCCCTCAGTGCTGTCCGGAGGTGGAGATGAGGAGCGAGTGGAGGTGGGGTCCGCTGTTGGGGTCCCGACGCTGGGGGCCGGCTGAGCGAGCGTTACGTTTGTTTTTCTCTTGGGCTTTCTGTGCTCGGCGCTTGCCATTCCTGACCTGCTGCCTTTTCTTCTTTTTCTTGCCGTTTTTCTTGGAGTTCTGGTATCTCAAAGGGCCAGGCTTGTCGGTCTCCTGCATCTGCTGCAGTGGTGTCCTGGTACCCTCGTTGTTGGGCGCTGTCCTGATCAGGAGGAGCTTGCTGAGGTCCGGGGGGTCTGGCCAGCTGGCCGGGGGCTTGGTGTTGCGGGATGGATGTGAGTGAGCCATGTCCCGGTTCTCCGCTGTATGCAGCTCCCCCATCACATTGTGCAGCCAAATCCGCCGCTGAAACTCCTGCATGGACCTGCCCTTGTCATGCATGAACTGGTGCTCAGACACCGACCGCTTCCTGAAAAGAACAACAAACAACATGCTTCACACGTGACACAGGCTCATCAAGCTTAGCCCTTTGCATGGTTGCTCTAGGTCCATTACAACAAACTGTTGTTCATCAAAACTTCTTAATTTGTTTTATAATAATAATAATTCTTACATTTGATATATCTTATCACATCATTGAGACGTCTCAAAGCATTTCACAGAATACACTGTAAAGTGGAGTGACTGTATTTTGTGGGAAAAACGCGACAGCCAATTGCCCACAGCAGTGTCCCACAAACAGATATGGATTGAGTGACCAATTGTTTGGGGGGGGGCATTATTACCCCTGGAACCCAATCGGGGATAATAACAACCGGGTTCCTACTTGCTGCTTGCTAAACAGAAGCTTGTAGAGAAAGAAAACTTGCCTAAGGTGTTCGACCCACCCGGGAATCGAACCCGGGTCCTATCACTTGGAAGGCGAATACTCTAACCATACAGGACTCCACTTTTTTTGGTCAGCCGGGTATCTGACATATAGGGAAACCCATCATTATGCTTAAGGGTATTAAAATAGACTGTATGCGACCTAAAGCATGGTAATTTGATTCATTCAAATACAAATTAGATAGATTTATTTCAGAAAATATTATTTTGGGATACAGTAAATTAGTAATTTGAGACATGACACACAAAGTGCAGAAAGGCACAATACAAATATAAGTTTGCTGCTGCTGTTGTTGTATGCTTGGAAGAACCAGGCACCTTTGGATCTAAGGTTCCGAAAGCAATGTGCAGCAAGCTTTCCAGCTGCTTGTCAAGCTCGGACCACCCTACTCTTCAGGGCTTTGACTTATAGAGTAACAGGAGCTGAGTGGGAAGAGTCTGTGCTCCCACAGAGGTCTTTGGAAGTGTGTTGTCTTTGTTGTGCTATTTTAGGGAATTCTCCACACATTGATACAATCTACAATACAATCCCTGATTTGCTTTGGAGATTCTTTGGGTTGGCATGTGACCCCCGATGGTGCACATGAGAGGCAGACTGCATAATGTGATTGTTTCATCTCCACCCTTCACTTACTCGTTTGGGTCCCATGAACCAGCAAAGCTTTGAGCAACTCATTTCAAACTGATGGAAATGAAGACTTGTAGTATTTAATGGAAGGCTGAGCATTCGCTCGCTGCTTTCAAAAGCCTCCTGAAAACCTACCACCTTCCAGCTCCCCCTCTCCCCACGTTCCCTTATCCTACTTTCCCCTCTACCCACCTTCCAAACTTGCCCTCAACACCCCCTGCTTTCCGCCCACCCGCTTCCCCTCCACGCCCTCTTCCGCTTCCCCTCCACGCCCTCTCCCGCTTCCCCTCGCGCCCCCCCGCTTCCTCTCCGCCCCCCCCTCCCGCTTCCCCTCCCCCCCGCTTTTCCTCCCCCTTCCCCCGCTTCCCCTCTGCTCCTGCTTCCCCTCCACCTTCCCCGCTTCCCCTCGGGTCCCTTGCTTCCCCTCTCCCCAACTTTTCCTCTCCCCCCCTTCCCCCGCCTTTGCCCTCTACCCCCCCCGTAATTGGTGGAATTTAATGCAGTCAGTAAGTGCGCATGTAGTGATGGGTCAAGACAACATTTCCCATGATTCAATGCGATGCCAACATTTGCCGGTAAGTGCGCAAGCGGGAAATAGATTTCTTCTGCACATGCATCGGTGGGTCAAGGCTACGTTTCCCATGATTCGATGAAGGTAAGTGCGCATGCACTGACGGGTCAGGACATCATTTCAAGGCAGCCGGTAAGTGCGGGAGTAATGGACAGGAGCGGCATTACGAGTTAGAAGGTGATTAATACGACTAGTCCAAATAAATCTAAATGGTTTTGGTAAGAAACTGAATGGGACTCAGATAGATTATGATTTAGGAGATTATACAATTTATAGATAAGACTTAATGAGTTTTACTGCATACAACTCCAAATGACAATGTGTCCAAGTCTTGCAAGCGTGACAACCTGAGAAGCATACCTGATATCAGAGTCACCATCCACTGGCTTCCCATTTGCTGGCATTGAACACAGGAGAAACATGGCAAAGCTGAGCTGTTGAAATCGCCTTCTGGTGTTTGGCATCTCCTTTTCCTTTGATCTGCAAATACCAAAGTTGCACAGGTTCACATTCAAACACATGAGCCAGTCCCCAGGCTGACTGTTTAGCACTCAGAGGAGTTCCCCACGTGAAGGGTGCAATATAAAATGCAAATTCAAGTTCTTGTGGAGTCCATTGGAGTCGTGATTAGCACGCTCAACTTGCTAGTGAGAGGACCCAGATTTGATTCCTGGACAGAATAAAACCTTAGGCAAGTTTCCTTACTCCATATGCCTCTGTTTACCTAGCAGTAAGTAGGAACCCGGTTATAGTTGATTGGTGGATTGCTTTCCGGGGTGATAAACCCTTGAAAAGAAACTGTTGTCACCCAATCCATGACTGTCTTTGGGACACCGCTGTGCACAATTCGCTGGTGTGTTTTGCCCACAAAATACAACAACAACATGCACTTATACAGCGCCCTTCACGTGTAGTCGCATCCTGGAGCGCTTCCACAGTGAAATACACAGTCAATCCACTTCACAATGTAATGTGTGAAGCACTTTGAGACGTCTCAATTATGTCTTAAGGCGCTATATCAAATGCAAATATTATTATTATTGTTGTTGTTGTTGACCAAGTACAGCAACAAGCAACTTGAAGCTCTTCCACAAAGCACACTTGAAACAATGCAAAATGTATTTTAAAAAATTGAAATTGACATTTGTTCAAAAAAACACTTTCCCTCCTCTCTCCGTACTTACTTGGTTGGTCAGTCCTTGAGAAGTTTGGCCGAGTTTGACGGGGCTCCTCAACCAACCAACACTCGCTGCTGGGGGAGAGCTGCTCTGCAAGTCCAGGAGAGAGAGAGAGAGATAAGACAGAGTGACAGACAGACAAGACAGCAGACAGACGAATGGCAGGAAGATTTTAAGGAAGTCCCATCCCATCACTCTCCTCTCCTCTCCTCTCCCCCACACAGTGCCGGTGCAAGAGAAGTTGCTCGGAGGCTGTGCTGTGCTCTGTGTGTGTGTGTGTCTCAGCTCCGACTCTGATGAAACCCTCAGAGGGCGCAGGGAAAGGCAGTCGGGATCTCACCACCGGCTTCAAAGTCCCTTAAAAGCAAACTATAAAACAAACCCTAAACGTTACAACTTTAAAGCGAATTACCAGTTGCCAGTTGTTTACATATTTCACATACTGACATGGGTCTCGCGAAAGCTTCCTAATATTTCGGTGTGGGAGGGGGAAAGAGGGGAATAACATGTAACTCCAGTACATGTTACATGTAACATGTAACTCTGTGCTCAAACCTCCAGGGAGACCGCCTGTGCGGGAGCACCGCTCAGTCACTTCTGATCTCACAGCACACGGGCGGAATCCCACCTGCACAGCAGCCGGGACTGCCCAGGGCTGTCCTCCCTCCTCCTCCTCCTCCCTCTCTGCCCTATGTTGTCCACTCACCAAAGCAGAGCAGGTAAGCTGTTTGCCCAGAGATGAGGCTTCAGTGTGGCACAGAAAGTTGGATCCGCTGTCTGGAGTTTACTGTGGCTTTGGGGTGGGCAAAGGGGGTAAACAGTCCAAACTTTTACAATGCAAAAAAAAACCGTAAAAAAATACTTTCAGATCAGACTCGACTTTTAAAGGTCCCGGTGTTTGAGAGGCGCTGCCGTGGGCTGACAGCCACATGTGTGTGGGAGCGAGTCTGACCATCTCTCCTACATAAAGCACCTTTGGGCTGACATCACGAACGCGTTGATCTGCGTTTGCATCCAGTAAAGTGATCGCCAGCGGCCTCAATGCCGGGAACACGTACAGGGAACAGTTTCAAAGGGGGTGTGAGGTGTGTGTGTTTGTGCAAACAAATAGGAACGGGTTCCTTCAAGCGCAGCACAGAGAGCAGAGTTGGTGGGACAACACTGCAATGCAAACTTCTGCTGCAAACCCAAACCCGGGGGATTTCTGCCCGGAATAAACCACTGCTCTGGTAGAGAAGCCGTTTCTCTCTTTATTTTTATACCCTGATGGACGGATGGGTGAATGAATGAATCTCGCGGCGAATATTTATAGTGATGGCATTTAAAGAGGAGGAAAATAGCATCAAGTGGCACTGAATTGTGTGTGAATATTTTTGTACATATATATAACAATCCGTTTTGTGTATATATTTTCTATTAAAATGCACTCTGGCACCGCTTGTCAGAGGAGACACATACATTAAAAATCACATTGGATGAACAGAGTCCACAGTGACTTTGAGGGAAATTTGATGAACGGAATTCAAAACTGTGCGGCAACGCGATTCTTTCTTAGGTGAAGAACACTGTCCTGATCTTTCTTCTTTTTATTAAAAGAAAAATACAAGAGAGAGAGAGGTATTTAGTGTTGGGAGTGGACGGTGGATCGGGGAACATAACCCGAAAGAGAATGGCATTAGAGCACAAAATGCCTCTGAAGTGTTTTTTGGCAGCAACTGGCGGCGGCGAGAGAGAGAGAGAGAGAGAGAGAGAGCTGTCCATGGTGACAGGAGGTTTTCTGCTCGAAAGAAAGTTTTTTTTTAAAAAAGGCAGGCACATCTCACCCATCAGACTGCGTTTCAAACTAATAATAATAATCCTTGCATTTAATATAGCGCCTTATCACATCGTTGAGATGTCTCAAAGCGTCTCACAGAATAAATTCTAAAGTGGAGTGAGTGTATTTTGTGGGCGAAACGCGGCAGCCGATTGCACACAACAGTGTCCCGCAAACAGTTGTGAATTGAGTGACCAATTTTTCTTTGGAGAGATTATTATCCCCAGAAAGCAATCCGCCAATCAACTAACAACTGGGTTCCTACTTACTGCTGGGAAAACAGAGGCGTGTGGAGTAAAGAAACTTCCCTAAGGTTTTGCCACTCCGGAGAATTGAACCTCTGACTTGCAAGGTGAGCGCGCTAACCACTACGTTATGATATTTAAAACAAATGAAACCAAGATGCATTTGTTGGGGGAAAGGATTGATTGTAGCTGCAGAAATATTTCAAATAACTTCGGTTTATTGGTTTGACCACCAAAAAGTGGGACCAGGTGAAACACACAACAACAACTTGATTTGTAAGCACCCTTCATAGAATTATACAGCAGGAGGCCATTCGGTCTGTGCCAGCCCTTTGAAAAGAGCTATCCAAACAATCCCACTCTCTCCCCATAGCTCTGCAAACTTGTCCTCCCCAAATAATTATCTATACTTCTCTCTTAAAAGTTGTTATTGAATCAGCTTCCACCACCCTTTCAGGCAATGCATTCCAGATCCGAACAACTCACTGTGTGAAAAAAATTCTCCTCACCTCCCCTCAGCTTCTTTTAACAACTACTTCAAATTGGTGTCCTTGGGTTACCAACCCACTCGCCAGTGGAAATAATTTCTCCTTGTTCGCCCTATCGAATCCCTTCATAGTTTTGAAAACTTCTATTACAACAACAACTTGGATTTATGTAGCGCCCTCCATGCTGGACAGCATCTCAGACCGTTTCACAGTAACGGATCCTGGGGCCGAGGCAGGAGGAGAGAGAGGAAGGTGACCAAAGAAACGTCTTCAGCCGAGACCTGAAAATAGGAAGGGAGGGGGTGAGGCGAAGGGAGTGAGGAAGGGAGTTACAGAGGCGTAGTGGGCATAGTGGCTGAAGGCACGGCTGCCAATGGTGGAGTGGCAGATTCGGGGGACAAGGAAGAGGCCAGATCCGGTGGAGCGAAGGCAAAGGGCACTGTTGTGAGGAGAGAGGAGGCCAGGGAGGTAGGGTGGTACAGAGGAGTGAAGGGATTTGAAGACAAGGGTGAGGATCTTGAAGTCGATCCTCTTTGGGACAGGCAGCCAGTGCGGTCTGGCAAGGACTGGGGTAATTGGGGAGCGGACTTTGGTGTGGGTAAGAATGCGGGCGGCAGAGTTTTGTATGACCTGGATTTTGTGAATGGTAGTGGAGGGGAGACAAGCAAGGAGGGCATTTGAATGGTCCAGCCGAGAGGTGACAAAGGCATGGACCAGGGTTTCAGCGACTTTTGGAGTGAGGTATTGGCGGAGATGGGCGATGCGTCGGAGGTGGACGAAAGCGGTGCTGGTGAGGGACCGGATGTGGGGAAGGCAGGAAAATTGGGCGTTGAACCTGACACCTAGGTTCCTATTAAGTCTCCTCTTAACCTTCTCTGCTCCAAGGAGAATAATCCTGGCTTCTCGAGTCTCTCCTGATAACTGAAGTCCCTCATTCCTGGTACCATCCTGGTAAATCTCTCTTTGCACCCTCTCAAATACCTTGCCATCCTTCCCAGAACTGAACACAATACTTTAGCTGAGGCCTAACCAGTGTTTTATAAAAGGTTCATCATAACTTCCTGACTTTTGTATTGTATGCCCCTATTTATAAAGCCTAGAATCCCATATGCTTTTTTTTAACAGCTTTATCTACCTGTCCCGCCACCTTCAAAGATTTAATTATATGAACCCCCAGATCTCTCTGTTCCTTCACCCCCTTTATGATTGTACCATCAGCTTATATTGTTTCTCCTCATCCTTCCTCCCAAAATGATTAGTTTTCATTTCTCAACATTAAACTTCATCTGCCACATTTCTGCCCATTTTACCAGTCTGTCTATGTCCATTTGCAGTCTACCACTGTTTACTACTTTTCCTAGCTTAACATCATCTACAAACTTGGAGCTACAGCTCAGAGTGCTCAACAGTGGTGGAGCCTGATACCAAACTGGGAGGGAGGTGACCGAAGCACGGTCAAAGAAGGTCTTCAGTTGTAATCTAAAAGAGGTGAAGGATAGAGTGATTGAGGGAGAGAGTTACACAGCGGCTGAAACCACAGTCGCCGATGATGAAGGGTTGATGAGGGATGAGCAGCGGACGAGAGCCAGCTGAACGGAGGCAGCTGGTAATGGAGTGGGGAGAAATCTGGTCAGAAAGCTAGGGAGGTGCCAGAGAATGAAATAACAATTAGATACAAAGCAGCACGTTAGTAGATTGGTATTAAAAACACCATAGCTTTGTGATGCCTTTCATTTGCACACTGTTTCATGTATTAGGGCATCAAAGAGTTAACCAAAACTTTGGGAATGTGATAATCACCCTGTAACCACTTGCAGGTTTAAAGCCAGATAAAGCTGGCAGAACGAGAGTTTGTGTTGTGGAGAGAACCGCACTCTTTATGGTTTTTTAATAATAATCTTTGCATTCGATATTGTCTCGTGCCAAACTCCACATGATGTACTATGAAGTGTAGTGACTTTGTTTTTGCATTTTAGTGAAATAATCTTATTAAATTTCAACTGGATTGGACGCTGGTGTTGAATTTTCAATTTGTTTCAAGATTGCCTGGAAGCAGCTCGTTTTTCAAACTGTTTTTACCAAACATCAGGCCAAACAATGCTCACAGCTGTTGCCTGCAGTGTTAACTCGCCCACATCATAACATCTACCAAAGCCCTTCATTTTGATGACGTACAAATGTTAGTACAGGGTACAATTCAGTCTGATGGTTTGGAATGTGACACCGTTCAGGAAGTCTTCTTGGAGTTCCGTTGCGTAGTGGTTAGCTCACTTGCTTCGCAAATGAGAGGTTTCCTGTTTGATTCCCAGGTGGGGCAAAACCTTAGTCCTGGTTGAGAGCTAACTTTCTACAGTTGAACTTCAACAAGACCAAGGCCCTTCTGATTGGCTCCCGTCAGCGCCTCCACACCTCAGGCACTTACAGAATAATCATCCAAGGATGCACTCTCCACCTCCCCGAGGCAGTCCAGAACCTTGGCAACTTGCTTGACCCTCAACTATCCTTTCTACCCCACATCCATGCCATGAACCACTCTGCCTTCCCTCACCTCTGCAACATTGCCTGGCTCTGCTACTGTCTCACACCGCAGTCCGCCGAGACCCTATTACATGTATTCATAACATCCAAACTCGACTACGCAAACTCCCTGCTTGATGGCCTCCCCAACTCCTCCCTCCATAAGCTGCAGATCATCCAGAACTCTGCAGCCCGTGTCCTCTCCCGCACCAGGCTCCGTGATCCTATCACCCCCATCCTTGCCTGACTCCACTGGTTCCCATCACACAGAGGATACAGTTCAAGATCATGGTCCTCACCTTCAAAGCCCTCCATGGCAGTACTCCCCCCTACTTTTGTGACCTCCTAACCCCCTACCAACCTACCCGCTCCCTCCACTCAGTTGGCTCTGGCCTGCTTCACTTCCCCTGCCTCGCCAACCCCACCATTGGTGGACAGGCCTCAAACCACTCTGCCCCCACCCTCTAGAACTCCATCCTGCAAGTCTGCCTTGCCCTCTCTCTTGCCTCCTTCAAGACCCGTCTCAAGACCCTCCTCTTCGACCGTACCTTCGGTCACCTTCCTTCCCCATTTGCCCTCCACCCTCCCTGATCCCGACCCCCAGCTCGGTCCGAAACACTGACTGTCCAGCGCCTTGGGACGTCCTCCTAACGTGAAAGGTGCTATACAAATGTAATTTTGTTGTTATTATGCTTACTCCATACGGTTGTTAGTCAATTTGCAGATCTCTTTCCGGAGATAATAATCCCTCCAAAATAAATGGTCACTTAATCCACACCTGTTTGTGAGACATTGCTGTGCACAATTGACTGCCACAAAATACACAGTCAATACACTTTACAGTATATCCTTTGAAGCACTTT